ATGCTACCCTAAAATGCTATAAGAGGCTTGAAAACCTCCGTTTTATGTGTGTCATGCAGAATACATTTGTCAATGAAGTTAATAAAAGGTCTGTTTTGCCACAATACAAGCAAAGTGAATATTATCTTATATTCAATTAAATGTTTGCGTGTTAACTGAAGAACAGTGTGTACAATATCTTTCGACTTCCTGTGGATACTGAAAGATGCTACATTTTGTAGGCTTTACGGATCGATTCAGCCAGTCAAAAGGAAGATATTTAGCCTAATATTTTATTGTCTGAGATCTCAAAACACTACACTGAATATTCATGGTATTGATAACGATGTTGAACAGTATTTTTCATCGCATTATGGATCAAAATTACCTCAGCAACTTTATGATTGAAACTAATCACTTTGAAGTCCCTCTTTATTCAACTTTCAGTCTAGTTAATGTCTAGTTAATGACTAAGCTGTAAATGGGTTAAAACGAACATACACCTCAACCAAGCTTGTTTGCATATGTGACTTAATTGACTCTTTACTGAGGAAAATCGCGTTTGACATTCATAGTAAATCTATGATAAGATCCAATAAGAAACAAGGAGCTCAGGGTTAGACAATCTTAGTTCTAAAAATGAACATCCTACCTGCTAAGCTATTTATGCATACCCATGAAAACTCTATCGAACTTCACCAAGAAGATTAGTTCCCTCGAAGTTTCACATCCGAGGCCTTGCCAACAAGTGTCAGTGAGCAAGAAACCTAGGTTGACAGCTTCCTGCTGATAACTTGTAAACAAACAGAATATGCAAAGCGCTTCAGTAATTTGCGAAGACCATAACTGATGTTTTTATTTGTCTGTTTGTTTTATTATTTTGTTATTACTTGTCCCTTGGTTTCCTAGTGGAACATAGGACTTCAGTAGCACGCCTCCAATACGCTCTGTTCTCTAAAATCGTTTGAACCTTGCTCTGCGACAGTCCACAAACTCTCATTTCCTCCTCACACGATCTCCTCCGTGTCACCCTCGACACCGACGCCCAACTCATCGCTTCCCATCTGGGTTCCACTCGAGTAACTGGTCTGACGCGTGATGTCCCCAGTCGGCCTTCTCAATGCATGCCCAATCCATCTCCACTTCCTTCTGCATACTTGTTGAGCGATAGATTCTTGGTTGGTTCGTTGCCACAGTGAGTTCCTTGTTGCTTATTATTTCTGGCCATCTGGTCTTCAGTAACGAGTGAGCGTAGGCAGTTGTTGATGAATGTCTGTAGTTTGTTAGAAATCCCTTTCGTAACGCGCCAAGTCCCTGAACCGTACAGGAGCACTGATTTGATATCGGTGTTGAAAATCCGGATGTTGTTCCACATGCTGGGTGGAGTGCAGAAGATCTCCACACTGGTTTCAGGCTAATGAACGCCTGTCTTGCTTTTCCGATTCTGACTTTGACGTCCTCGTCTATCCCGCCTGTAGTTGAAACAGTGCTGCCTAGATAGGTGAAGGAGGTTACTTCCTTTAGGTTGCTCCCGTTGACGGTGATTGGAGTTTGTTGTTGTTGTTGGTTGGTTGGGTATCTTCATCACTTCTGTCTTCTCTATACTCACCTGAAGTCCCGTCTTCGCTGCCTCTTCTGCCAACTTGTTAGTTTTTGCCTGTAGATCTTCAAGTTTGTGTGACATCAGATACAAGTCATCGGCGAAATCCAAGTCTTCTAGGATCTTTTCCGCAGTCCAGCCAGCGTATCACCCTCTTCTCGCTCCCCGCTGTTTGCTGCATGATACAGTCCACTACAATCAGGAATATCATATCATAGTAGACAGCCTTGTTTCACTCCTGTCTTCACTTCACTTCGAAGGCATCACTGAGTTTTGTTCCCATTGTGAATTACTTGGCTGGCATGTGGCATCTTCATATAGTTGTTGAATGAGGCTGATAAAGGTTTGTGGTATTCCATAGTGTTGAAGCAACTTCCAAATTTTTTGTCGGTCAACGCTGTCAAAGGCCTTTTAAAAGTCGATAAAGTTGAGTTAAAGGTCCTGTTGACTGCCATTCTATGCTCTTTTCCATGATGATGCGTAGTGTAGCGTTGCAATTTGGTCAGCACATGGTTTGTACTTCCTGAGTCCAGCTAGCCTGTTCCGGTCATAGTTTTGAATCCAGTGCATCCTTTAGTCTCTCCAAGATGATGCGGCTTAATATTTTGCTTGAGGTGGACAGGAGCGTGATTCCACGCCAGTTCTTACAAACACTTAGGTCACCCTTCTTCGGGAGTTTGACAAGGTAACCCTTCTTCCAATGGCCAGGTACCTTCTCTTCCTTCCACACCTTCTGCAGTAGTGGTGTGGTGTGGTGTGAGCATGTCCGCTGCAGTTGTCTCTGCGTATGCTCTCAGTGTTTCTGGTGGGATTTCATCTGGTCCTGCTGCTTTCCCGCATTTCAGTAGTTTTATGGCGCTCACGACTTCCACTTTTGTTGGAGGATTTATGTTCATTTGTAGTTCTGTGGCTGGGCTGCAGGTGGTATTTGTGGACGAAGTGCAGATGGTGGTGGTGGTGGTCGATTCAAGAGCTTTTTGAAGTGATCGGCCCATCGTTTCCTTTGTTTCTCATCTTTCGTAATTAAATTTCACTCATCATCTTTTATTGGTTTCATGTGTGTTGATCTCTTCCCTCCCACATAGTAAGTAACCTGGTTATTTGATACAATGTTGTCAGATCTCTGTCTCTCCTACCTGCGGCAGCCTGTTCTGCTTCACTTGCCAGTGTTTCGTAGAAGTGTTTTTTGTTTTTGTGTGCACTCTTCTTCACTTCTTTGTCCAGTGTACTGTTTTATACATTGTACTCAGTTCCTCTTGTCGTTGTGCATCCTTGCACTGCACTGGTTAATCTTCTGTTTCACTATCCTCCTATCCTCTGTGAGCTTCCATATGTCTGTCGAGATCCATTCCTTGTCTTCTTTCTTCTTCCTTCCTACTACGGTTATGCAGGTTTCTTTCCACATCTCTTTCAAAGACCTCCAGCGTTCTTCCACACAGGTTTCTTCAGACATGTTGCTTGATATCTCCCATTTTTTCCTGATAGCTGCTGTGAAGATTTCCTTTGTGGTTTCGTTCTTCAGTTTCCGTTCTGGTTATTGAACTTGGACTGTGGTCTGTCACCAGCTTTCTTGAAGGCTTTCAACGTGAATTTGTAAATCGCTTGCACTATATAGTGATGTGAACCTACATATGCTCCTCTTCTTGACGTTGTGTCAAGTAGACTGCGTCTCCATTTTCTTGAGATTGAGATGAAGTCGATTTGATTTTTAGTGTGTCCTGGTGTCTGGTGAATGGCGAAATCCATGTCGCTCGCTTTGTGGATATCCTCGTGCTTGAACACACTGCCTGATTCCAATCACCAAATCGTTGAATGCACAGAATTCTGCAAACAATTCTCCATTCTCATTCATCACTTCACCGAGTGCTTCTCGACTCATGATTGCTTCTCTTCCTGTGTTGTCTGCTCCCAGTTTGGCATTCATGTCGCCCCACCCATCAGAATTTTGATATCGCCAACTTGACTGGTGTCTTGTCCAGTGTTGATTGAAGTTGTGTGTAGAATTCCTCCTTCTTCTCTTGCTCTGCATTATTTGTAGGTGCATAGTATAGCGTAGCATTGTATGATTGTGACCCACCTTCCTTCCTTTTGAGTTCAACCTTGCTCTTATGAACCTAATCCTGGAGGAGGTTGGTTCCCACTGCATGAGAGAGAGCCTTCAATGCACTTGGGGACATCATGACAGCCACTCCAAATCTCAGTGTGCTCGTGGTTGTCGTTTGGGTGACAATATCGGAGTAGATTATTGACCCGTATCCAGTTGACAGTTTCGAGAGTCCACTCTCATTCCATCTACTTTCGCAAATTCCTAACACTCAATGTGATACCTCTTCATCTCGTTTGCAATCTATGCTGCCTTGCCAGCTGGGTTCAAACATCGTGTGGACATTCCATGTCCTCACGTTTACGTTCGCTTTTATCGGGAGAGAGAAGACACATCGGCCAATTGGCTTCCCGAAGGCAGGCTTTCACCGACTGGCGTCATTTCGCTTCTCCGATTCCAACGAGGAATAATTTTGTTATTATTTTTTATATATCGTTTGTGCTTTGAAGTTTCTTTGGTGGTTATATTTGTTTTTGGGGTAGGGTTGCTAGCCGAATGCCCAACCTTCCCTCTTTGTCGGGGCTTAGGACCGGTTAGTAACTAGTGAAATAGTTAACCAGGTGAGGTTGTCTGGTTGTTGAATATTAGTTATTTCTCAAACAATAAAGCAGTCGGAAAATAACTTTCCGATGTATACTAGTGTTTGGCGGTTGATATCAAACTGAAAGCATACTTGGAGCAGCTTCGAAACCAGGGACTTCAAGATGAATTGCGACTAGTGATTGCTTACTTGATTTGAATCAGTCACTTAGATGTAGTTAGTAGTTTTTCTTACTTTAATGTTGAGATAATGGATGGGAAAGGCTCTTTGTGCATTACCTAGCCAGTGTCTAATATAGAGTCAACCAAATAGTCGTCCTCTTATAAAACTAAGATTGTACTATTCAACAGTCGGCTTTGCCTCACTCAATGAATGCCAAAAATATGACTGAAAGTGAAATTCTAACAGGATTTTCCGGTATTTCAATGCTCTTGAGGCTGTCGTCAAGATTTTCTGTACCGATGATATATCTGGGACATTCGTTGGAACACTTGTTCTTTGATATCTTGACAAAGCTAAGCATTTTAGAGAATACAACTGAAAGCCTGTTATGTACCCTACTTTTTGCTTGCTGCGATATTTTTCTAGCCCTTTTGAAGACCTAATGATTGTTATGTTGTTCAGGGCAGAAACTGAAATTCATGCAGTTTGTGAAGTGCTTCATGATGGCTTTCTTGTTTGCATGTCTTCTCAGTATCCGTCTATGAAAGAAACTACCTAATTTCTGAAACATAACTTCTTGGCTATTTTTTTAAACTTTTGATATTCATACACAGATTTGTATATTCCAAATCGTCCAGATGATTTGATCAGTACTATCAGAAGACTAGCTGAAATGACATCAACAGTTGTACAGCAAAAAAATGATTTACTCAAACAGCTAAAAACCAACGAAGTTGAACATCATGAAGAACTTATCAAAACCAAGTCATTAGTTCAAAGTGAATGGAAATCTATTATGGATGATACTATAGCAAAACTGAACTATGAAAGTAAGTCACTGCAGTAATATTCAGTCTTCAATGTCTATTAAAGGGTTGGTTTTCTAGGAATATTAACTTAGAAGTTTTTAGTTCCAGTCTAGGGCTTTAACCCAATATCGCGTGATTGGGAGTAGTCAGTGTTAGCCCCTGTTTCTGGAGTTCCTTTCCTTTGACACCAATAACCATTACTATCGAACAAAGAATATAGTAACGTCAAGTCAACTATCATGGTAGTTACACTGCCAAATCAAAATGAAAAAATGCAGATTTTTTAGAAAAAAAAAGATAAAATGCCATTTTGTGCTTAAAATTTATGTGTTGTGATTGTTATTCTGGTTTAAAGGTTTCTTTTAAATCGTTATTCATCATGGACTGGCATCAGTTGGAGGCAGATTGAAAACCTGGTAGCAATAGACAGCTGTTTCATCCAACGAGAACTCGTGACCAATGAGGCGAACCTGGTGGCCGGAAGAACAAATACTGAACGGTGACGTTGAGTGACGGTCACCGTATGTCATGGACTGACATAAGTTGGAAACATGAACCACTGGATTCCCACCCAATGACTCAAGGGTAACGTGCTGGCCACGGAATCTGAAGGTCCTGGGTTCTATCCCTGGTGGGGGAGGGTCATGGGTGCGCACTGCTGAGGAGTCCTATACGAGTTGGAGGAAACAGCTGTCCAGTGCTCCCAGGTTTCCATTGTTCCTCCAACTGATGTCGGTTCATGGTGAATACCAACCTAAAAGGTCAATAAATCCCCATAAACCCCGGAAAGTTAAAGATTTTTTGACCATCTAAGGCAACCCTTAACAAATATATAAACCATTGAATATTAGTCTGACAAGTGAATGTTTGTGTGCTTATCTTTAAAGCCGGATGTCTTAAGTTCTATTATGGTTTATGGGTCACAGTGATAACCTTATTTGAAGCATAGAAAGACAGCTGTCAAGCTTTCTCTATTTTACTGCTTGTTCGCCTGACTTAGGAAGTGGAGAAATTTCCACACAGTTGTATTAAGATTTCAAAGTTGCTTTAGTTGATATCTGTATATGATGAATACTATGAAAGTAATCAGTGCCCTATTAATCTCTGAAATTAATATTCTAATTATAATAATTTGCTTGGTCGTGACTAGCAGAGGAATCCAGGATGCGTGTTTCATCCTATTTTGGACTCGTTAGCTGGATACACCTGCACATCAGTGAGTGATGTTGTTCCCACTAAGACTTCAATCTCTTACCCATCGCTTTAAGCACCAAGGCGTTATCTACTACACCACGGAGGAATGATAGCCAGTCCTCGTACGACGGGTATTAGTTATTACTATTTATTGATATACTTGTAATTCTCCGTTGTTTTATTGGATCGAATTGTTCGACCTCTGTTGGCATATGGGCTCCTATGCGTATGCCTCGGTATTGCTAAACCAGTGGTCTGTACAGGCACAAAAACAAATTCTGTAAACTGATCAGAACGAAAGGAAAATGAACTTCAGAGACGACGTTTATATGAAACACATGTAACTATTCTATTAATTACCATCGTGTTAGATTTCAGTGGTTATGCTGAAATAAACAATGCTATTGTACAAGCTAAGAACCTAGAAGACTTGGATTTCGCCGATGACTTGTATCTGATGTCACACAAACTTGAAGATCTACAGGCAAAAACTAACAAGTTGGCAGAAGAGGCAGCGAAGACGGGACTTCAGGTGAGTATAGAGAAGACAGAAGTGATGAAGATACCCAACCAACCAACAACAACAACAAACTCCAATCACCGTCAACGGGAGCAACCTAAAGGAAGTAACCTCCTTCACCTATCTAGGCAGCACTGTTTCAACTACAGGCGGGATAGACGAGGACGTCAAAGTCAGAATCGGAAAAGCAAGACAGGCGTTCATTAGCCTGAAACCAGTGTGGAGATCTTCTGCACTCCACCCAGCATGTGGAACAACATCCGGATTTTCAACACCGATATCAAATCAGTGCTCCTGTACGGTTCAGGGACTTGGCGCGTTACGAAAGGGATTTCTAACAAACTACAGACATTCATCAACAACTGCCTACGCTCACTCGTTACTGAAGACCAGATGGCCAGAAATAATAAGCAACAAGGAACTCACTGTGGCAACGAACCAACCAAGAATCTATCGCTCAACAAGTATGCAGAAGGAAGTGGAGATGGATTGGGCATGCATTGAGAAGGCCGACTGGGGACATCACGCGTCAGACCAGTTACTCGAGTGGAACCCAGATGGGAAGCGATGAGTTGGGCGTCGGTGTCGAGGGTGACACGGAGGAGATCGTGTGAGGAGGAAATGAGAGTTTGTGGACTGTCGCAGAGCAAGGTTCAAACGATTTTAGAGAACAGAGCGTATTGGAGGCGTGCTACTGAAGTCCTATGTTCCACTAGGAACCCAAGGGACTAATAATAATAATAATAATAATAATAATAATAATAATAATAATAATTGTACAAGCTGATTTCAAAAATCTGTCCCCTAAGACTGAAGGATAAGTATTTTCATAACTAAAGCTATTTCAGATTAGGTCAGCCATATATTGTTATCAGTACACTGGACGTAGGAAGGCCGTAAAAAGTTGGATGTTGAAAATCAATTTGCAGGCAGCCTTGGACCTAGGTTTCATGCTTGTTGGGACCTTTTAGCAACCAACATATGCAGCGTTGAGGAAACTGGTGTTCCCTCGATTATTTAGAGCTGCCTAATACACAGCTGAAGACAAAGACTTCATCATTAAACTATTCAGTTTGCAACTCCATAGGACTGGAATATACACATGAATTGGTCGCAAGTCAGCTTCCTGCAGACACACTGTCAATATTTGACACTAAAGTTTGAGGACTTCATACTTTTCTTCCCTTTCACGAATCTGAATAAGGCAAGAAGAACAGCAGTAGCAGAATTAAAATGTATTCATTTCGTTGATTCTCCTCAGCTTCAGCACAGTTGTGCAATACTTAACTTAGACGCTACACCACAAACTTGATCGATAGACTTTGGTCAGTGCTGAGTACTTGTGATTAGACAACTGCATTGACTGGCCATTATTCAACTATCTGTGTATAGTAGGAAAAGTGTTCGACAGAAATTCATTGCAAACTTAATTAAGTAAACTAGGGACAAATTAAAGTTCTCTGTTTATCAACCCAGATAAATATTGAACAATAGTCAATTTAAATAAAGTGGATTATGACAAAATGAACTGGAAAGTGATGACATAACAAAAGAGTTACTAATTATTAGTATAACAAAATTCCTTTGAAAGTATCCTGACCAACAGTGGAGTGGTTGGTTTGATTCATCGTATACCGTGTATTTTTACTTGTGTAATCCCGGTGTTGTATATTAGAACAAATAACAAACTAAACAGATATTTTGTATTGTTTCTCAACGTTTCGATCTTGCTAGGAAGATTCTTTACAAGAGTGTGAATATGACATTAGGTTTTTAGTTTAATACTCATGTTTTAGTGCAGGAAATGACCTTTATGATCATCCAATTACATCGTGATATGGAACATAGGTCAATGTAATGTATGTGAATAAATAAGCAAATCAGTCAGAGAGCCTTTTTTTTCAGTTGTGCAAGTAAGGTGAAACAAAAATAGGGTGGAGAATGAAAAGTGCAATGGAGTTGTGAGTCATCAAGAGTGAGAAAAAATAGATTACTAGATTGGAAAGTTGAATATTTGAACATCAAATTAATAATAATGATAATAACAGGGATAACGATAAAAGTACTTTTGATATCACTTAAAGTATGAATGATAACAAAATGGATTATGTAATACTTATAAAATGGTTCGCCTACACCTATATTTGTGCAGGCTATTTGTCCAAGAGAACCGGCTAGGTTATTACAGGTTGAGCGGAAGCGATGTCATCGAAAGGCTCTTGAATATTTGTGCTGAATCCCACAAAAGATCCAGTGATTTGTGGACCAAAAGCTTGAAGACTATTTCGCTTGAATGTGGTCTTGACTGATTCAAGTCTATGCACTGAAATAAGTATACAATTTTGAGTATGCGAATAAACCATTATTTGGTGTGTACACCACCCGTGCTTATCAGAATCATTCTGAAACGTTCAGCAAATATTAATTTATTGAGTTGCAAGGTCTGAACAGGGATATAACGTGCGTGTTGGCGATCAACATAATTGATGAACATACGTGATTGTAGTCAAAGGAAATCATAATCCTCCCTAGGGTCTTAGATGATGGGATGAGTTCAAGTTTTCAACAGCATTATAGACGTGCTTAGATCTACTTTTAGTAAAGAAAACCGATACAAAACCTACGAGTTTATGGATCAGTATGCTACCTTCAGTTGATGAACATAATTTTAGCGAAGCATATCTATCTGTTTTAGTCAGATTATTTGTAACTGGTTATATCACCGTCACATAGACGATCAGATATAAAACCTTAGGGGAGGGGGTTAAACAATTATCACACTGAAATTTATTTACTTCCCGTTTCAGACGCAGATAAAATCCAAAAAGCAGTTGAAGAGGTGGCACGTGTAGAAAAGATGCGTCAAGAACAAATTATTTCTGTTAAAGAGACACTTATAGAAGAACTTGAAAGTAAACTACGTGAAACTCGTCAAGTAAGTGATTTTATCACGATAAACTATTAGAATATTTATTTGGATTATTTTCTTTCATTATAAGGGGTTTCAATGGAAAATTTGATATTTTAGGTTAACTGAATATTCATTATATCTCACAGCAGTAGGGGATGTGTTACGTTGTTAGGCATAATGAATGACTTAAGAAATGAAGCCAGGTGAGATTTAATGCAGCCATTTTTTAGCAACATGTTTTCGTAAACGACTAGATTCTGGGTTAAATTCGTTATTGAATTTAACCTGAATGTAACTTAGAAGATTTAGGATACAATTTTTAAATCCAGAAATTTGGAACCTTTAAGAAGAAATTCTGATTTCTGTCATTAACAAGGGACTAAGTCATAAACCTGAAGGGATCGCCTTTTGTTTGCATGTCAAATGAGAAAATTGTTGTACGAGTAAATGGTAATGTTTAGTCATCAGCTAATGCGAACAATAAACAGATAGACATGTGGAAAACTGTTAATTAGTGTATCTTTTTCCTGTAGGATACTGTGTCCCTTTAATCCATATTTCTTCTTCAAAAAAAATCAAATAATGAGTGGAGTCCTCAGACTTTGAGACATGTAAAAGACAGTAGATCACAAACAGATGGAACTTGTCATTGTCGCACTGAGTAATATTAAAAAAGGTGTTGACAATGTCCAACGGTTAGTTCTGAAACTAAAAGTACTAACATTTCAGGGATTAGATTTCCTGAGAAATATTCCTATTTTACTCAGTAACAAAGGGAGCATTTTGTAACAAAACACTCTGCAAAGTCTGAGTTGAAAACCTATATATTTTGAAAGCGAAAAAGTGCATACTATTAATGTTTCAGACTATTGTAATGTAACAGTTTAACCGAAGTCAGAAAGTACTGACAAAAGTACCACTAACAATGTTCTTTTAAAACCTAGAAAATGTCATTCAGACCAAGGACAGGTGAGAGAAGTTCACACTTAGTTATTTCTCATCAGATGAGAGTTCACTGCGATGTACTGCATTTTGATTTAAACTGAAAAAACAAGTATATCATGAATGTATTTAATAACTTGTAGACAAACAATAAATTTGAACCTGGAAAGAAGTGCAGCATGGCAAGTCATTGCCAACCTCGATGTGTCATGCTAGAGGAAGTTGAATAAGTTTGGTAGAGGGTTCAGGGTGGTCAAACCAAGACATGATGTCACTCCATTAAGATCTAAACTTTTGGTTTAGGCCGTTTGGAGAGATGTGGACTGCCTAGCTGAGGCTTTCGAGACAAAAGTATCCTTAGTTGAAGACTCTTGGTGACATGTTTGGAAATCGGTCACAATTGTGGAAATGTATTCACTACTTAACATCTTCTAACGCTTCAATATTTGCACCAACCGCTATTTTCAGATCACTTATTCCCTGATATAACTTAGGCCGACGCACCTATGTACAAGGTTCTACGTCGATTTTGTAAGTCAGTCAGCAACATGACAATTTACCGCACTTTGCGTAAAGTACACAGGTTTCATCAAAAGTAGGAAGATACTGAAATGTACCAGAAACATAAGACAAGAAGGAACAGATCTATGAAGGTCAGTATTATGAGTGAAAACTTGGCAGAGATAGTGTGTACATACATCTGCGTCAGTGCTATCGATTTTTAGCAGCGTCATCACGAATCTCCAGTTGTTATTTCTAAACAGTTAGATTATTTCAAGCAAACAATCCAAGCATCGTAACTTATCTTAGACTCACACAAACTTCATGATTTGATATAATGTCTTTGTCTAACTATCTTTTACTTTTTCCTTATCTAATTTCATGCCATCCTGCGTAACATGTTAAAGAAAATACTGCCTTGGCATGCGTAACATATATCTTAACCCCATCAGTTGATACAGGTTCTTTGAAGCTTCATGTACAGATAATGTTGACCTAAGAGTTATAAATTCTCAATCATACCATCCACACAGATTACTTATTATTTAATTACAGGTATTAGCTGAAAAACAAATTACTTTTGAAAGTGAATTAAATGAGGCCAAGGAAGCAAATAAACTATTATCAACATTACAACAACAGATTGAAATAAAAGATTCTGAACTTGAAGAAGTGAAAACTCAGTTAAATCAACAAAATTTAGCTAGTGAAAAGTTACGCGAAGAAATTGAAAAGGTTTGTGAATCACACTGGAAGTCAGAAGTTGACAGTTATAGAGAACAAGTTCGACAACATGCCAGAACAATATGTGTTATGGAGGAACGTTTAGTGAAATTAACAAAACAGTTAAAAGAATCTAAAAGTGAAGTGGCCAAGTTAAAACGTTGTAATACAGGTATTATTATTTGAAGCTGAATATTTGAAAATTATTCACTTTTGTCTATATTCTTTGATGTAATATTACATAACAGTGAAAACGATTTAATATATCAAAGAGCCTGCTAAAATCTGTTGGTAACTAATAATGGAGATGACTGACATCCTCAGTGTACACTATTTTGTGCCTGATTGCTTTAAGTCAACGTTTGGAAGTTTTAGGCCTGAGTTGACATTTACCAGAGAAGTGTTGAAATGACGTGTTTCCAGTTGAACTGAAAAATAATAGATTTTGTTAACACTGACTTAATGTAAAATAGTTGTAGTGGTTGATTAATCTGTCAATGTTTTCAGCTTATAAAATAGTCAATCATTTAATGATTGCTCAATAATTTCACTCTTATAGTACCCTGCAATATCTTGAATCTTTACATAGGGTGAAAATACAAAAGACAGAACCGCTTTGCACAAAAAATGAAACAGCATATAAATAAAACGTACACTATTAATATACACACTCACCAAAATGAATTTTTTTGCATTTTGATACAACTTCCTGCTCATTGAAACGTTGCTTTTATATTCATGACCCATTAAAACATTTTAATAACACTCACATAACTAGAATAAATAAAATGCAGATGATCCTGAAGGCTACTTTCCGCCTAACTGACTTACCTCGTACAATAATCATCAGATAGGAATTATATATTCTATCTAGAATTAATTAATTACAATCTTTTATAATTCAGCCTGTCTAAATCTGTTCTATCATCTAGTTTATACAAATAAAAAGCTTACATTACTTACAAGTCATGATTTTCACCGACAGCATAAGCTCAGAACAGCCAGTTCCGAATTCAGTCAAATACAATCACCTTTATAGCTGTTAACCATTTCTATTTACTAGTTCATAGTGAAGTACTTCCTTAAGCAATTTCTCCAGCTAACCTTATTTAATCAAGATGAAGATGACTGAATGTATTTCTCTGGGAAAGAAAACACTACCAACAATATGATAAGCAAAATCTATGCGTTTCTATTTTTAGAAGGCAGCTTTAAAATTTTGTGGTTTACCGTATTACCAATAAATAGTACCACCTGAAAAGTAATAAAAGATCTCTGCTAACTGAAAACCAGTGCACAGTTTCACATTTTATAAATCGAACAAAGAACCTTCTGTTTTACAGGGAGCATATAACTTCAATTTCACAGTTGTAAAACTCAAAAATAGGCGTTTTCAGTTCCTAACAAGTATATGGCGTGGTAGGATCATCTTTTTTAAATACTTTACAGAACCCAGCTTCTCATTACTTCGTCATGACTAATATATTCGAAACTATAACTATAAAGCCTTGTAGCTTAGAGTAACTATTCTGTTCATTACGTAAAAATCTGTTGCATTAGTTCACTCAAGAAATTTAAAATGAAATGAGGATCAAAAGTCTGCACACTGGATGACTCCATTATGAAGTCCTCCTAATAGGTGATATTTCATCATGCAAGTTGCCGACAAAAAGGTTCCGTCTTCAAAACCATGGATTAAGCATTAATTCATAAAACAGTGAGTTTACTAACAACTTTTTTGAACAATATAACTACTGCTATTTTCGAAGCTAAGTAAGCAGTTTAGCTATGTTTAGAATGATTCTTATTTACTCCCATTCAGTGTTCAACATCTGAGTTGCTGATCTTATTGTCTTCCTACATTTGTGCATGTTGCTGACCACCAATGATCAATTGAACCAGGAGATATTCCTAAAAATATTTAAACCTCTCTTCTGTCGCCTTTTCTTTCCAGAACCCCAATAATGGGTCTTATCATAGTGAGATACTCTCAACTTAAGTCAATTTGTGAAGTACAATGTCTACACAAAATGTTTTATTCCTCTACCATATGGGGGACCCCTATGCTTTAAGTCCTGCTTCAGTTCAAGTTCTCTGTGTATTTATTTTCTTATGAAATGGTTACACAAAGCTATCCAACCGAATGAAAATGATTCTTATGTATAAAAGATACATAAACTAGGTCAACGGCTTGCTGCCGACTTCCTGCCACCAACCAACAACTACCAAAGCGTACCGAGATTATCAGTCTTATAGCATGGTGGCTACATTGTAAAATGATCAGTAGAATTGAAGCAGCACAAGGGACTAGGCAACATAAAAGTGGTTACTGTCCAGTAATGAATAAAAAGTCCAGTAAATCGCTTCGATAAGGTAGGGGATAAGGAAGGTGATTTTCAGTCTAATAAGATAATATGAGATCATAGTTCCTTCTTTATGATAAAACAAATGAGTGATCTGAGTGAATTTTTAGCTGGATTTGGTTTTATTTTAAATTAAATGGATTGACCGTTGAAAAAAGATGTCAAAATGTTTCTAGAAGATAAAGTACAAATTAAATGTCTTTCTATCCCATCCTGTTGGGTTCTCGGAAATGTGTGGATTGCCCTTCAAATTTGTTTCGTTCCAATCACAAAAGCTACTTTTTCTTAGTTTCACCAAATGACCCAGATGATGAAATTACGTTCATAAGTGATTCTTATGGCAGAAGAATTACACAAACAGCTCTTATCAGCATCCGCTACATCTTCATAAATCGATAGATTCTAGAACATAGACTTGCTTACTGGCGATCGATACTGATCATATTTCTTCACCTGAATGTAGTATTCAGATCTGCTGACCGAGGTATTTTCTCAGTGTCTGACTATGAAGATAGTACCAAGGTAGTATGTAATGCTCATCAACCGTCTCTACTTGAAATCACGTAATCATGTGAGAGCTTATGGAGAATGCCACTTCAAGTAATGATAATCAGATTTTCATCAGAGATATCCACTATCACCATTTCTATTTATTCTGGTTAAAGAAATGATGATGGAATTGACCTTAGGTACTTTCGACGTTTTTGAGACTGATTTGCTTTCAGATGGACGCCTGGTTCAATAGGGTTATGCAAATGACGCAGTTTGTTCGGCGAAGGCAGTTATAAAATGCGGGCTTTCCGAAAGCTTTAATTAGAAATCGAAGTGTTCTTGGTATGCCTCTTCCACTTGTCAAATGTAAAATGATACTTCAGGACTGGCTTGTAACTAGTCCAGATTAAGTTATAAGGAGTGAAGTGCTAAGAATTCCAATCTTTCAATAAATAGAGGTTGTATTAAATAACCAACTCTTTAGTAGCTACCTACAGATCAATATATGCTATTCGAATGTTTGGGATATCGTAGAACGTGGCACAACATTAGGTCTCTTAAACTGGTTAGACTTTAAAATAGCTTCTAAAACGTGACATGTGACAAAACTACGAATAACTGTTTATATGGCAGGATGTGGTGTGAACAAGGGCCCACTTTTCTATGTATAAATAAAATTTCAATGTATCTACGTAACCTAATCACTTTATGTTTCGGTTTCTGTGTTTCATAGAACGAATTATAGACATCAAAAAAATGTCAAGTTACAGTTTTACTAGTTTAAATTCATCAACTACCATATTCTTCATTTTAATTTATTTAGACTCATCTTGCTGTGAATTCATAATTAAAAGGTTTATCTACAGTGTGATTCTTTACTTCAGTAAGGTTGTAATGATCATACAAATATGTTCTTGACTTTTCATTTTATGTAGAACTACAAAATGAACACAAACAATTACAAATGCGTCTCACTGATGCACAGAATCGTCTTCAGTCTTCACGTAAATCTTCAGCCCGTAATCCTGATGAAGCGAACAGACAACAGTCCTCTGCTATTTCCGGATCAGATGGAGGTCCTAACTCTAGGCTGGCTGATAACTTAAAGTAAGTTTGTTTTGAAGTACGAAATCGTTAATCGCTACATCTAAGTAATTAAGCATTGAGATAATATCGGTAATAAATCACGAACTATTTTAGTGAGTGATATCTGTAAGCTGGAAGTGATTAGTGCTGTGTTTTACTCTCTCAGATATTCTGTCCATGTGATACGTCTTTCTTGAAATGGCTTCTTGCAGGCCTGGATGATGTTCACAAATCGGATTTTAGATTATCAATAGCACAGTGCCTTATTTCATACTGTTCATCGAAATTATTTGGCGATGTCTCATTTCTTACCTACTTGTTTAAAACGTCAAGGAGCTACCTGGAAGAAAAATTCCTTACTTATCATGTGGTATTCTTTAGATGAAAGGGAAATATTCCGTCTACTGGAAATTCAAAGGAAATACTAAGGTACCGGTAACACTGAAGGTTGTAAAATGCATACACACACACTTATGTTATTATCCATGATCTCAAACATTTGACATTCGTTTGAATAGTTACTAACTTCATGATTCACTTTGTTATTGGAATCTGTTTAGGAAAACTATGGCTCTGTGAATGTAAAACAGCAATTGGTTCTGCATCTCAATAAAACTTGAAGCTGTTTCGTTCATTCTTTTTTCATCATGATGCACCACAGTTTCAAATTTATCAGCAGAAATAGTTATTATTTTAATCTTACCACTTACTCTGGTTTATCCTTATTAAGATATGAATTATTATCTTTAGATGGACGTTGTTCTGAACATAGCGTAGTGAAAGCTACTTGTATGTTTGCATTTAAGTAGTACGTAGTGCCACATCGGTTAACACAAGAAATGATATCAACTGACAGGAGAGGATTCGAAAGGGAGGAAATAAGATATTGAATAAAATTGCAAAGGGCCAAAAAACTACACACTGGGATGCTGAGTGGCATTAAAATTCATTGTAAGATTTAATATCATTATTATTACGGCTTGTAATTCTCTAATAAACATTCCTTTTAATAGTTCTAGATCTTACAACTTATTTGAAATCACATACTTCTGTTCTCGATGAAAAATACCAACATGCATGTTCAAACACCCTTGAAAGTAATACCTGGTAAAACACTCACAAACTGTCCTATATAACCGATACTTAATACAGTATGCTTACCCAATCGAAAGTTTAACCTAGGAATATTCACCTAGATTCTATAACACAGATATCTTATTCGTCACTCTAGAATGTGTATCGATTTTAAGAATGGTATTTAGTTTCAAAATAGAGTTGTTAAATTCATAAGAGCTCCTCTAATACAGTTTTTGAAGGCAGTTGTGAGAAAGAACAGTAGGCTTTTGAACGAATATGGATGCAACATTCTGGATTTTTACACCTTAATGACACTCCCCGATGCTACATGTATGTATGTATGTATGTATGTATGCATGCATGTATGTATGTTGCGGTATGACATTCCAAAAAGAGAATTTTTTCTGCCTGCATAAGAACTGTTTGTGAGAAGAATGTTTCCAGAAGTGATGACATTCAACCACCACTCTCTACTATTTGAAGTCCAATGAGATGTTAGGACATTTTTTTTGTTTTCAGCGTCCCTTCCCAAATAGGCTAAGAATGAGAAATAATTTTTCAAAATATCATCTTCGTTTGGAAAAACATACATAATATTCAAAATAAATTAATCATTTGGCAACTATTGTCAATCCGCACGACTTGCAATTGGCATTAGTAAAACATGAAGTACTTTTTGAAGATTAACAGAGGCTTTTGCTGCTAATTACCTTTGATGTTGAACTGCTGAAAATATGCTGACTACTATGTTTCCGCTCCTAATATGTAAGGTATTCTCCACTGTGTCTGTTAAAACAAGTCTGACAGATGTGTGGTTACTCACCTAATGTTCTAGACAAATGTCAACAGTAATATTCAGTTATCACTACTCTATCACTGTGAAATAGTGCATGAATAAGATAAAATGAGGTTGCGATAGCGGAATTGTATTAGAAGTTTTCAGCAAATGATATACATGTCGTGGGAGATGTGCACTGAGATGTGAGAACATGAGCAACGAAGTTTTATGTAGCAAGTTCGTCATCATCTTATTTGTACTGCATAATATACTCTGAAGAAAATAACTAGACCGTAGATGGAAATTTCTTCTGTAAAATGTTTAAAATAGAATAGCAGATTAGGGAGAAGTAACCTGGCATTTTCAGGTTCTGAAAAACATACCCATCTTATGAAATTATTACTTCAAAAGTTTTTCAGTATCTTGAAGTACATTTACATAAGTCGGTGAGAGTTGATAAATGTTGTTTCGTGATGTTCCATTCGCCAATAGATAGGAATCAGTTAGATTGCAGAATCACTGTTATCTAGCTGCTGTTAATATCTTAGGATTTACTCCTAAACAGAAAAACAAATTTCACGTTAAACTCTTCATATAAGAATAAATTCGAAACACATTTTGGTAACTTAACCCCAAATTATGATATTATATAGTTTACAACAGCTTTTTGATGACATAAAGACTTTTTATAAATGTTTCAATGGTTGAGGGACAGTGACTCTTTGGTTTACACACTCAACTGTTACCCAGTATGCTACACTTTCGAAATTCGTCTGACCTACCGAAACCTGTGAAACCGACAGTTATCACCAACATTAGTGCAATAGGAAATATTAACATAAATGAGTGGAAGTATAAGTCTGAGGTGACTCAACGGTTGCATATTACACTACAATGACATAATATGGCTTTCTGCTTAAGTTGGAGCCACGAAAGTACTTCGAGGTATTCCGAGTATATGAAATTCAATTTATGATTTAATTACACTAACATGCAGTTATTGATAATAAGAATAATGCCTTCTGAGTATTTCAAACATTAATAGGGAGTAGACATAATTCGTTGAATTAAACTGCTCCAGTATCGACTTTTTCGAAATATATTAGTGCTGGGTTCTAAATCACCCTGTTTTTCCACCCGTTCATGCAAATCACAATTTTCTCTTGACTACAAATTGTCAAACTGTACGTCCAAAGTCTGTATTGATGAATTATTACATAAGTATGTACTACTAAACCTCATGTCAGTAATGCGAGATCATTCAATCTTTTCATCTAAAGTCAATAAACATCGGTAATCGTATCATGCATTTATGTTTTTGCTAGGCATGAAATATCCCACTTACAAGCTATCATCAAAGATCAGGCATCCACTATTGAAGTGTTACGTTCAGATTTGGAAGGTACACAAGCTCAACTAAGTGATTTGAAAGGGGAGTTAACTGAATCACAAAAGGAAGAGGTTGAAAATGCATTGAATCTAAGTAGAAAAACAAATGCAGAACTGATCAATACAAAAGAACAACTAACCCATTTAAAAGAATCTTTAAAGGAAATGCAAAAGCATTTAGATGAAAGAAATGATCAAATTAAGTGAGTATATTTTATATGTTTTGTGAAATATTATTTTCAGGACAGCACTTATCGCAAATTGGCGTCAGTTGTTAGATGATTTTAGACCAGGAAGCTGTAGATGGCTACCTGTTAAACTCTCTGGTAATACAAATTCTGAAACTCCTTGCTTCTCATTGTCTAGGGAACCGCAGCCGAGTGGACTACATTTCCCTACATGGTTCAGAGCAGCAGACGCAGAACTCATGGATTAGTTATTGCATCGTTTCCTGGCCACATTGAGTTTTTTTCCAGTCTAATCACAATCCTTCCAGCACTGCAAATCAAGGTGGACGGTTCCTCTCACGAGCATCATACTTCCGAACCACTTCAGTCACTGAAGGTGCACAACCTCATCTGCCAGGTTGCATTCCTTGCCTAGGACTCTTGACCTGACCTTTACATTACTCACATGGTAGCTCCACTATACGTCAGGAATGCTGCGAAGACACTCATCATATCTTCTGCCTTTAGTGTCACGTCTCAGTCGTATAATCGGACAGAAATTACAGCAGCGCAGTACACTATTGCCTTAATAGTTTGTCAGATATCTCGCCAACCACCACCATAAATGATGAAAATTGACATTTTACAAACGGGCCTGCTGTATTCGAGCTGAGACTTCGTCACCAACCAGCTCGTTTGGGGTGGTGCTGCTCTCCAAGTAAATGAAGTCGTTGGGTTCTTCCGCCACTTCAATTCCTGTCGTTTAACGTGAAGTAGTTCCAGACCAGTCCTGAAGCATCATACTCTCTCTTTAGCATAAAATTCAATTTCATTCGCAAACAAACTGAATAGAATCTTAATGTACGCTAACGAAACAAGACTTACGGGTAACAACACTTAATTTCATGACTTCCAATCAAATAAAAACCATCCATTGAGTAGTCAAATAAGAATTGAAATGAATAGATATTTAGCGTGTCGCACATACAAAACTTTTCTGAATGAAGGCATTGAGTGAAGTATACTTTGGTTTCTAAGCGCTGTCAATGGATATTAAAATTGAATTTCGAATGAAAAGGGTGTAGTAAGACTACTAGTTTGGAAATAAGTAGTATATTTTAGATTCACAAAACAATGTTATTATTCTTTAAATTGTATTGCGTCAGGTTTTAAGTTGTTTATTGACTAACTTAGGTGTATTGGTGTGCACCGATCTAAAAGCCGCTCGTCTAAAGCTATCATCACCTTCATTTATCACATCAGATTTGTTTGTCACCACTGAGTACAAAACTAAGTCTGATAACTGCAGCTATCATAGCCTAACTTACACCATAGAACAGTTTTTAGTATTTGAAAACGAATGCAAAAACTTACGGTTCCCCATAAACTGGAACTGTGCCATAGCGAAGAGAGACAAATTCATCAAACATAGGGAAACTTTAGATGTAAACCAGTAGGAGGAAAACAAGGATTCGAGGAAACAGTGTTCCATATTCATTATCAATTAGGTGAGCAACGGTAAAAGGAAAATGAGACCGTCTTTAGTAATATACAAAGGTTATGTGTAAGAATTTCTCACAACTTACTAAAAATCTGACTAGATCACAAATTTTAGAGTTCCAGGTCCGTTCACATTCATAGCTAAGGCAATCCCAAAAGGGAATCATTGCCGATAAGCAATTGTTCTTCATTGTATATCAATTCGTAAAAAAATCTGCCCTTAAACTCACTAGTTTAGTGGACCACTTTTCCAAAAAGCAGTAAGATTCGCTATATTTTGTCCTGAAAAGTATGTAGACTGTCTATAAAACTTTATCCAGAATTTCCCAATAACCCATGAATTTCAACTGTCAGATAACAGATAGCAATCGAAAGGAAACTCCAAACTAAGATTTTACACCTTTTAGCTTTTCCCTTTTAACTGGAAGGAAACTGTATAATTTTGAGTAAATTCATGTTTCTTCTGAAGTTCAAATCTGCATATTTCAGAAGGCTGATGAAATAATCGGAAATAACTGATTTATGTTGTACAGTTTGTAAGGGTGATTTCAGTTAGTGGTGTTAATATTTGCATAATATTTTCTACAAAATTGGTTGACTACATTCTTTTCTTAACATACTCCTACTACTCTGAGTTCCGTAACGACAACCAAGTTGGATGTAAAGAAATACTCATCAGCCACATCAAGTCATGGTCACGCTGTATCACGATGTGACAGAAGCTGGAAATATGGAACCGAGACAAATAACTGACCTCAGTAGAGATGTCACCTAAAAATTATCCTACTTCAATTTTAATCATCGACTTGCACGTTCGAATAGTGTTCTATGCGCCCGAGAATAAATTATCGAAGGGTATCATTAGGTTTTCGCTGTATATAACAAACCTACGGTCTGGAGCATAAAATTGTATGTTTATCGCCTTGGAATATTCTTTCTCTGTAGTATTTATTTAGATACACATTCTCAGGAAATTTTCCCTTTTCTTAAAGCGATTCCCATCCTCATTATGTAGATCGAAGGGCATAAATTGTGCTTCGAATTTATTCTTCATTATTTCCAGGCTAAATCCTAGAATTACAGCTTAAATATGATAAACCACGTAGTAATTAGTGTTTATCAGGATGTAGTCTGATTTACTGTTTCATTATCTAGTAAGTTTCATTTGCAGTAGGAAGGTTGAATTATGTAGTATTCAGTAAACTGATACTTCTTTCCTTCGAGTGATATCATTGGTGTACTCAGTAATATAGTGGTATACATTGTGTAGGGGTTTGTAAACCTGCCGGTTATGTTCAATATGACGACGGAAACCAGTAGTTGGAGGGCTGATGATTTTGTCCAGAAAAATAATGAATGACTAATCAGTAAATCATTCGTTCGGGAGATGACCCACTTGAGCTACAAATATTCTCCATTATTTCAAACTTATTCGTTCCATGCCCTCCGTTGTCACACACTTTATTCATTTGCAGTGTCATTCTCCTTTTATGCTTTTACATGGTGTAACAAACTAAACAGAATAACTTTCGTTCAGAGCTTTTTTTTCCATGCTAGGTCTTTTTTAACAAAAGAGGATAAGTATTCGTAGCTCTATTAAATACAATAAAAAAAACATTTTATCTTTCCTTTCAAGTGAGACATTTACGGAAAGTAGTAATATTAATTTATATTGTTTAGAAATATATAGTTAGTGCTATAAATCTTTTTGTGAAAGCCCTATTCTTACCATGAAGCTGTTGTTTGGATGGATATTTCCTTGACGAACTAGTCGTCTTATTCCATGCAACTTAAATGTCATCAAAAAAAGAGTATTATTAATAACTCACTTTTGATTTCCTCTATACTCAGAAAACAAAAACTTTCAATTCAAGAATTACGTGATTTAAAGCATGAACATGAGTGTACAATTAAACAGCTACAAGATAAGTTACAGAATGAAAGAGAAGAGTATGCACAACGCAGTGATCAAATAAGCTTATCGTCCAAACTTACTGAAGAACTTATCACTTTAGGCACAGAATGTAAAGGTGAAAGACATCATGAAATTATTAGTAACCAAAGGGAAGCTTTAAGTCAGCTGCGTCAACGTCTACGTAATCAATGCGGGTATACATTATCACAAGGTAAGTGGTTCCCAATTAAGCCTTTTAACGATTCCAGCTTTAGTCTCTCTAATGCACTAAAAACATATGGAATAATTTTGAAATTAACCATCATTAATAATGCTTCCTTAAAACATTATTAGCAGCATGTTAAAGAACATACATCTAATAGCATGGTTTGTGTTTAAGGGAGAATGGAAATCGTTATCCAACAGCTAAATCCAATCAGAAACAATTGCTTTCATGTTTCAAAAGTACCTTGTGTTTACTGTTTGTTTGGCTGTTGCACAGTTCATCATTTGTCAGCTCTGGTGATATTTAAAGAAAGTGGAGAACCAATTAGCTTACAAAACATAAATTTGCACGAACTCTAATCAATATTCAGGTCTTTTCGCACTGTAAGTGAATATTCAGTGTTTATGAGATGTGCTTCAACAAAATGAGTAAAGCATGCAAAACCCCCTAGTATTTTAACACAAGTGAATCATAGAACTATTTATTGTCAGAATTAACAGTAAATGCATATGAAAATCTTTCTGTTTAATAGAATCAACTCATATACTCTTTTCTATAAGTGTTTTAACGTATGAAACCGAGGTTGACAACTTCCTGCTCATAGAGCTCACCTAGCTAACCACAGATACCCAACACCATCATATCAAGTCACAAAACTTTCGTAACTAGCGGTTGACTGTTGAATTCCACGTGACTTTCACAAGAAATGTATAGCAAACTTAAGATTTTTAGAATGAAATCGAAACGAAATATAACTTGAGAGAGATCATTTTAACTAATAACGTTGAATGCTGGTATAAATACTCCATTACCAAATGTGGATCTCATCAGTTTAATTTACTCTTTCAATTCGGGTCTCTAAAAATACAAATCGAATCTCACGGCGCAGTTATTTATTTTGCAATTAATGTCTTATTGCGCTCAATCAAGTATGACGGTCATTCACTTAAGATTAGCCAATTCTTTTCTTCTAGAAGCTAGTAACATGAATATAACTTAGAACCTTAGTTTAAAGCTAACAATCATTGAGATCAACACCAATGATACTATTAAAAAACAGCAACCTGAAGGAAGAATACTCTTCTCAATAAATTCTCTTCAGGTCCTACAACTATGAAAGGCAGTTGTATTGCATAAAATCAAACCATGTTAAGAGCAAACAAAATTTCAAAATGCATTGAGATTTATGGACTGTTAGGAAATCTAGTTTGCTTTCTAAATTTTCCAATATTAGGAAGACATATATGCATACATGAATAATATTTCGGTGAACGAAAAGATAACGAATAAAGAAGATAGGAGTGACCTTTCGTTTACTGAAGACTGACGGAGAGTTAATGCTGGGACATGTTCTTTCTGAATGCAGAGTTCAGGCTTGATCAATCTTGTTGCGACAGCCTGTGCTATGTTGAGTAGGTGTTGGCGAGCTACATGTGGTATCGTCTTTGGAATATGATGAACGACACTGAAAGCTTTGCTATCATTTATGTGATCCCCTGTGTCTACTAGGTGCTCTAGGACTAAACTTTTCGCCACTTTCATTTCTCCCTTTGCAAACTAAGCTGTTTAGTGCTTTCTTATTGGGAGACACATCTGTCTAATCGTATGGCTTATGTAACTAGTTCCACAGGACCATTTAAGTTGATGTATGGAAGATGAAGAGCTAAGATTAGATAAGCTAGTTTTGAAATCGCCCTAGCCTAGGAAGAACTACAAGTTTTTTAGATAAATTGTAACCAATATATGTTGCTTTAGCGTAAAAAAAATGATATTTACTGGGTTTCAGCACCATGGTAACTACAATGGAAGACTGAAGTTCCATCTAAGTCACAAGACTTAAATTCTACTGTTATCTGCATTCAACAAATAAAATAGTAACTTATCTACCTCTTTTTATTTAAAGGTAATACAGAAAATGATGAATATATCCGCCAGATTTCCAGCCTTAAACGAGAAAATGCTGAACTTCGTAGTAAAACACTACTTTCAGAAGCACCACTACCTATGAAGGCAATAGCAGATGATTCCCCACCTGCACAAGGTGATGGAACAGATGGTGATCAGTTCACGGACCAGAGGCTATCGATGGATCATACTGGTTTGAGAAATGCAATGGATGCCTTGCATGTAAGAATTGTTAAATCTTAAATATTGGAAATATAGCCACACAGATAAATATTAAAACGTTCAGCTGAACGAAAAAGAAGTCTCAAGAAAGTATACTAATGTTTAAGTCGAGCTTCAGGCTGTATACAGACTAACTCAGTTGTTTAAATGAAGCTGAGAGCCACATCTTACGGCATTTAGTTATGGATGTAATGAATAATTTTGAATGCCACCTTTATGTCTACACTATAACTACTTATAGTGTTACTGATTTTTTGAAATCCGTAGAAGGCTTGCATTTGGATAAATCAAGAAATCCACTCTTGATACTCATCTTTGAAATACACATAGTGGTGAAATTTTTTAAGAGGAAAGATCTTTCTTTAACCTGATTTCAAGTAGTTAGGAAAGATATCCACACGGAACCAGGTACATCATCCCCTTTCTGGACGTCATAACAGGCAAACAAGATGAATAAAGGTTGTTTATTTAAACAAGCTTGGCCCATAATAATAGATAGTGGTTAGCAGTGAAATCCAGGATGCACGTTTCGTCCTACTTGGGACTTGTCAGTTGGGTGTGCCTGTCTTCTACTGAGCAATATTGTTCCCACTGAAACTTGGACCCCGGACCTATTACTTCAAGCATTATCCAATAGACCACCAAGTCACGATAACAGCTTCTTGTTCGACATGTATAGTTTTTACATTGTTGCTTGTATCATCCCTTCACTGACCGGACTCAATTGATCGGTCTCTGTTTGCATATGGGTTGCTGTGCGGATGCCTGGATACTGTCTATCGTTTAAGAACCCCATACACCAATAAAGACCGATCAGTTTGGTCCAGTCAGCGTTCGAGTAATACAGGAAACAGCATAAGCCGAACCTGTGTTTTCAAAATCAGTTTCTACACCCTCTATCTTAACCATGACTAGTCACATAATTTAATTCAATTTTTAAAAACTATGCTAAAGCCACCCTGCCTGTCTTCTTCACATTCCCTTCCTTCTTTGTCGCTTAAAGTTTTCATATAACTGTTGTCAACATTTATCCACTTGCCGATACTTTCATAATTTTGTTATGTGCACAGTTGTTCTGTTTTCTTAGGTGCTACCCTAATTTACGTGATCTGTCATCGATGTCTTCATATTATTTTAGAAACTAATCATTTTCTTAAACTATAAAGTGTCATCAGAGTATTGGTTTTTACGCATAAATATTTTTTCACTCAGACGGTATGTTGACTTGTTTAAGCTGGTGTGCTTCACGGTGCAGTACGTCCTCCGTTTCGGTTCTCGTTCTTTTTGCATGATTTACCCTATTCTGGTGAAACTAATTTTATTAAGTATTCTGATGACCTGACGGTGTCTATTCCAGTTAACTCTCACTCAGACTGCTCTAAATTAAATGGATTCTTGTCTGAAGTTGGTCAATGGTCTCTCTCAAACGGTCTTAAGTTAAACCCTTAATAAGTGTCAGACTGTTAATTTTAGCCTAAGGGGTAAACAAGACTTACGTGAGTTGCTTAAATCTCATGACGCCAGTTGCACTGATGGTGTTTCTGCAGAAAGTTAATCGACTGTTTACTATCTTGAATTTAGATTTACTCCTGATCTTTGTTGGTCGTCTCATATCTTGTTGACTTCTAAAAAAATCTTTTATCTAACATATTACACATCGAGACTGAGACTATCTGGTGTAACTCAACCTCTACTTTTCGAATCTATTAATTTCTGAATCTTACCTATTCTTCCATACTGTTCCCCGTTGACTTTTCCTGGTCTACTAAATAAGGACTATGTTATGTTGCGTAGGGCTTTGAAAGCCGTATGTGTGATAAATGCTGTGCCTCTGACCTAACTGATTAACACTGTGGTTGACAGACATTTAAATTCCAGTAAGCAACTAGCTACAATAGTTTTAACTGACACTGAGCATCCACTTCATTCACGGCTGTCTCTCTCCCCTTGAATCTCCACAGGAAGGACAAGGAGGAACTTCACAAGACAGTACGTTCGTACAGACAAATACAAGAATTCGGCTGTACCTGACCTAGCACGCATATTATGTGAGGAAAACTGTGTTAAAACAGAACTCAAATACCAGCTTTGTAACGGTTAATAATCTCATTTCACTAACTTAATTAGTGATATAAAATGTTCCCGTTTTTAATATTGTTTACATTGCTTAAAATTTTATGATAACACAGTTTGAAATGCTGTAAAGGAGCGTATACATGCACATGTATTTTGTTGTCGTTGCAATAAATCACGCTGAGAATTCCAAATTGTACCACAAATTGTTTGGAATAAAATGGATGTTACTATTATCATCTACAGATGATGTCCTCTTTGGAGTTGTTAATGTATGGTTTGATTGTTTTATACAACTTATCCATATGGTAAATTGATGTTCTGGCAATCATAATTACTGTGTTTGAGAAATATTACTGTTAGGTGATTGGACGCAAGGGACAATGAGCCGTGGACCAAGGTTTCCCGCTTGTTGATAAAATGACTTGGAAACTATGTTTATCATAATGCAACTCAAAAACTACGTATAATTTCGTACAATAGGCTGTAAAACTCATTTTTATTGTTAACCCACTGTTAACTTGCCAGGTAGAACGAAGTCACAAAGAATGATTGACTGGCTGATTGTTGAGTGAATGATCAATAGGCTGGGATAAAATAATATGTAATGTACCAATCTACGACTGACGTTACTGTTAAACTTCAAGTAGACACACAAATGATTTCATGCACCAAAACAGAAGAAAGAAGAAGCATACCAAAAAATACTCTCGATTAGTAAAGCATGTTGCCTGACTGCAACACTGGGTGATGCAGGTTGGAATGTCACAGAGGACATCAGTCCTCTCGAAACTGCACAAACGCCCACTGACAGGTACCATCAAGCGCGACACCTTATTAAAGGCTGGCTCCCTACTTATTGCCTCCAACCAAGTGACATCCATCAAAAAGCTCCCGCGATGGTGAGTCTTCTAACATGGTGGCCACATTGCAAAATGATCGATATAATTCGGTCGGCCCTCAAGACTAAATAACATGAAATTGTTTACCCTTCGGAAAACAGTGTCATAGAAATTTTCTTGGTAAACATTATGAAGCGAACTAGCATATTCATAAAAGAGTTGAGATTGAACACTATTGTAACTCTTACAAATTTATATCAAGATGATACGATTATGATTAATAAATTCTGCTTGAAATGTGATGCAGTAAATGATCATGTTCCACTTTGATAAATACGGCAAAAAAACTACTATTGAACTGAGTAGTACGGCTTGTGAATATGAGCAAAGTTTTCCTGGAATTTCTTCCTAGGTTTCAGCAGCCAGGTAGCATAATAAGTCCTCATACAATAGGTGGGCACTCATCACCTACTGCACAAATGTGCACAAGGCTACTGAGTGGATTTAATTTGATTCTATTTGAAGTCAATCAAAGCTTCATTCACTTCATTATGATTAAATCCTTTTTTATGTTATACAGACTTCAGAAGAGTGTTATTTGAATCTGGTTCGATCCATATCAAATCACTTAGAATTAGATCGACTACCTGGTCAAAGATCACTTATCCAAGTGCCAAAAATTGAAAGAGAAACAGTTAGAAAGGAACGTCAAAATACAATCGAATTATTATCACAACGAATTGCAATACTCCGAGATCAGCTGCAACGTAAAGAAGATTTACTTAGTGAATATGAACGCGATATGAGTCGTCTGAAGTAAGTTGATAACTGTATTCCATGAAAAATATTGTAAAATGAAGACCAAAAGTTTGACTGACAGTTCAATCTTCGATTTTATTCAGTTCAGTGACTTCATTCTATTTGTAAATTGAACTCAAAATAATTATATATTAATGAAAGTGAACCTGATCGAATAACTTGAAACCTCACACAATCCCTAATAGCTGGGGAAATTGCATACGATGACAATACATAAGTACAAAATTGCTTAGAACAATAAGGAAATCATTAGAGTTAGGAAAATTAAATGAAAGTGGATAAAGTGTTCAGAAAACTTTGAATGACAAAGAAGAGATACACCTGTGCCAAAATTTTAGATTTCAACCATGTAGTATGAAACCAATAATTTATTTATGAAATCTTAAGACCAAGGCAGGCACTTACAACTTCCTACACGATTCAGTTGCAGTTGGTAGATACCTCATGGATTACTGCAATGTGTTTCCCGATGACTTCTTACTTCATGCTAGTCGTGTTTCCCCAAAGCAACAATAGCACATCCAGTGATTTGATATGTTTCCTGAGGACTTCAATCATGTTAGCCAGTTCAGACCCATAAATTTGTCAGTGAATTTAAGTTATATGTAGGCTTCCTATCCACAAGCAACGCAGAAAATCTAACAATAATCTTGTCGTATATCTCTAGGTCAATTTTAGTTGTTAGGTACCTGTTGTCTTTTGTGTATGTTGGTATTCCTTTCATGCATGCGGTAATTAAGCATCCTTTTAGGATGAATAACAGACTTCTAAACCAAACCTAAATATAGTTGTACAGCTTGATAGTAAAATCGGTTCGAAGAAATATTTGTCTACTGATAAAACTTTGTCCTTCTCATTTATTAAAACAAGTTTGTAACTAATTCAAATTTTGGATATCGAGGTCTAATAAAGGTAACTTTCGAAGGATGATTTCAAATTTACTTGAAAAGTCAAAGTTGACGAGCAGATTACAGTTACTAGAGCTTAGTTTCAAGACTAAGCTAAATAACCGTAAATGGTAGTGGGTAGCGAAAGTTGAGGAGATAAAGAAGATAGCGATAAAAGGTGATACTTGACATGAATAAAGTCTCTGAAGGTTGTACCACGCCATATTGGAAGTTGTTGGTCAGTTGACCAAGGTCCTCAGGACTATATGAATCAACAGTTAGCGACATTTTTTGATATAGCTCAAAATCGACCACAATAGCACAGATGTGTGCATTTTTTGTTATCATCAAAACCTCGAATATTTTCGTTAACCTTCGTTCTTTTATTCCCTCTCGCCTGATGCATTTTTTCTTAGTTTAATATTACCGTTTTTTTATGTTGGCTGTTGTATGCTGTTTAATGTGTGGCAACTTGGCGTGATGCACTCCTGTACCAGACTGGACGTTGGTTTTTCTCTCTGTCACTAGGATAGTGCTTACTTGAATGCTTCAATATAAGGTTAGAAATTATTGCTTTCCAAAATAAAGGGAAACTTTGAAAACCAACCTTGAAATGATACTGAGTAGCTTTTAAGTACCCTTGAATAGACTGTGGTAGTAAGTGATTAGTTTACATCTGTTGTTAAGAAGAATAAAACTGCAATTTCAGATGTCAGTGAGTGTTCGTTATGTAACCCTTGATTATTTATTTGTCATTTTAAGTCTAGACTAGACACTATTTTGTCACATTTTTATACGGAACTTAACGTTTTGTTTTATAAATGTTCTGATTTTCGATCGCAGATACCTTTGGATGATGTATACACAGTGATTTGGCTATCTATGTGCTTGGTCTTTTGATTTCATCATTTTGGTCTTCGGATAACTGTTGGTAGATCAAATGCAGCTATTAGTATCAAAGTTCTAAGCGAATTATCAATTTCATCCGCCCATTCTAGTGAACAGCTAACCTGAATATCACTTTATTACAGAACTTGAGGTACACAGGCATACAAGTTGAAGTTACACTGCTTATGAATCCACTGTGTGAGATGTGTTTCAAATGTTTGGTTTGAGCACCTTAATTCCAACTAGTAGGCTGTGAAGTCAAACTATTTCTCACCTACAAAGGTTTCAGTAACAAAATTTTATCACTTACCGTCAAGGAATAATTAAGGTTCTAAATCTGTTACACAAATCTCTGCCGCATGCATTTTATTCCTTTGATAAACTCTAACGACTGAATTAGAGCTCCATTCCCGTTATACGATAACATAATATCATAAGTTATCTATAGATGCAAACAACCTCTTAGAAAGCTTTTGACAACTGAATAAGAAGAACACAAACAAAATACTGTAGGTATAAGATCTTAGTGTGTTCAGTTCAACATTCATATGACTAAGGATAGACTAACAGGGTCGGTCCGCTGTCAGTTTCATATTGGAGCTTTCAAAGTTCGAACCATATACCATATCAGAAAGCAAGGATCGCTAGCCAGAACTATATAATCTCGAGCCAGAGATGTGTCCTATGTCTCTGAGACACGTATTCAGGATCCGAGTGTAACTATTTAAGTGACCTCACCTAGTCATTGCAGTGAATCTTCAGAATTCACTTTAAGAGTATGCGTAAACCCAATGGCTAGCTCTCATGAACTCTCTTGTGTATGCTTAGCATTGAGTTATAGAGTGAAAGCGCACTTCTCGATTGGATACCATTCACCGGCCAGTTGTATGCTGTTCAACTGAATGGATCTGTAAGAACTAGGAAGAATTACGAGACCAACCAACGCCTGTTGGCAATCTCCAGCTACTCACCCACCGACTAAATTTCGGATGATACAAAGGATAAATTATATGGGAATCTGTCAGTTTCTCTACGGAGAACAAAATATTCAAGTAAAGTCATGTAGCGACTTCAGTGCTTAAATAGGAATTCTGAGGGAGTTAACAAGTTATTAGTTTCAAGCATAAGGACAGACACTGTCTCAAATGACGTCTTCCAACATCAAATCAACGATGGACATAGATAGACCACAGTCTTATAAGCTGTCGGTGGAGAGGATAGGTTCCAGAAGGCCGTTCATTCTGATCATGCACTGCAATGCCCATCTCAAGCCCCCGCCTACCTCAACCTGCATTGCTAGCCGACGAAGGACCAAGTTGTAAGAAAGCACAGGGTGAACAGAGGAAGATGTGACACGAGTGTATGAAGTCTGTGACTGTTGGTCTTTGCAATGTCGCAAGGTGTAGAGTACCTGGTTTGGGCCCTTGAGATGATGGAAATCAATAGTTGCAGATCCTTGGTGACATGACTGAAAATAGATCACAATACATTCACTGTTTGACATCTTAAGCTTGAATGTTTTGACTAACTCTAAGTTTTAAATTCTTCTCCTACACACCTTTGTCTTCTTTGAAATTAATCTTTTCCTAACTACTTGTTCGTTGAATATTACTACGAGTTATAGCAACTTGAACCGGTGTGAGGTTCAATGTTGATTTTGTCTGTCTGTTTTCCATTTCATTAATCAACATTAAAGTTATTCTAAGTTTATAACAAAGAAAGTTCAGTTTTTAAGACTAAAAAGAGAATTGAGATATAATTACTCAAAAGCGTGAAAATTTCAAAGTCAGTAAGATAAGTGGCTCTAGGAATAGAACCTTAAGACATTTATGGCTAGATCAAGTTTATTACCAGAGTAATAAATTAATTTAATCTCTTCAAGAATTTAAAACAATTAATTCCTTTTATAAACTTCCACAAAGCAATCAGAAGATGTAAATTGTCTGAACCGCGTAATGTATTTGAGCAACACATTTCGAACTATCTGATTACTATCTTATCAAATAAAAAGAGGTCAGGAAGGCTGAATTAAAGGCCGAATAACAATGCAAATCAATAGAGTCAGGTTTACAAAATGGTCAAATCTCACATGTAAAGCATTTTTGTTGTAAACCTTTTCTCATTTAGTAAGATTTTTCTAAAAGTCCGCCTGAAATAAAATGACATCATCTAACTGTGCAAAATATGATTTAACAGTGTTGTTTGAATATGTATTCGGATCTTGTTCTTTGTGCTGAGTGCAGTAGATCTCTACACTGATTTCAGATTAATGAAGGCCAGTCTCGCTGTCTTTCCGATCCTGGCTTTGACGTCCCCATCTGTGCCGCCACCTATAGTTGAAACAATGCTGCCTCCTAAATAGGTGAAAGAGACTACTTCCTCTAGGTTCCTCCTGTTGATGGTGATTGGTGCTTGCTGTTGTTACTGCTGTTGTTTGGGTATCTTCATCACCTCTGTCTTCTCTACATTCACTTGAAGTCCTGTCTTAGCTGCCTGTCCTCTGCCAACTTGTCGGTTTTCGCCTGTAAGTCTTTGAGCTTGTGCGACATAAGACATTACACATAAATCATCATCGTTGGCGAAATCCAAATCTTCTAGGATCTTTTTTTCGGTCAAACAGCGTATGCCCAACTTCTCACAGCTCCTCACAGTTGTCTGTTGCATGATCCAGTCCAGTTCACCACAACACAATCAGGATGACCATCGATGATAGCAAGCGGCAACTTAGTCTCACTCCTTCTTGTCTTAACTTTGCAGGCGTCACTGAGCTTCCCATTATGAATCACTTGGCATGTGGCGTCGTCATATAGCTGTTGAATAAGGTTGATGAAGGCTTGTTGCACTAAAACCGTAGTGTTGAAGCGGCAGATGCCAAATTACTTCTCCGTCGAGGCTGTCAAAGGCCCTTTCAAAGTCGATGAAGTTGAGGTAGAAGGTTGACTGCCATTCTATGCTCTGTTCTATGATGATGAGTAGCGTTGTAATTTTATCCGCACATGATTTGTTCTTCGTGAAGCCAGCCAGTCAGCCATCCTGTTCCGTTCGTAATTTTCAGTCCAGAACATTTTTCAGTCTCTCCAGGATGATGCGGCTAAATATTTTGCTTGGAGTGGACAGGAGCACGATTCCGCACCAGTTCTTGAAAAAACTTATGTCGCCCCTCTGTGAAAGTTTGACAAGTAGCCGTTCTTCCAATCGGAAGGTACCTTCCGCTCTTTCCTTCCAAACCTTGTGCAATAGGGGTATGAGCATGTCCGTTGTTGTCTTTGTATCCGTTTTCAGTGCTTCTTGAAGAATTCCATCTGGTCTTACTGCTTTCCCGGATTTCAGCAGCATTATGCCAACTGGAACTTCACTTCCGCTTTTGTCAAAGGGGTTGTGTTCACTGATAGTTCTGTGGCTGGACTGCCGGTGGTATTTCTGTGGGAGTTGTAGGTAGTGGTGGTCGATTTAAGAGCTACCTGAAGTGGTCAGCACATCGTTTCCTCTCTGGTAACTAAGTTTCCTCCGCTAGCTTTTACTTGTTCCATATGCGTTGATCTCTTCCCTCCCAGATAGTAACATGATTATTTGATATAGTGTCGTCAGGACTCTCCTCTTACCTATAGCCTGTTCTGCTCCAGTCGCAAGTGTGTCCCGGAATTGTCGTTTGTCTTTCCGTGAACTCTTCTTCACTTCTTTATCCAGTGTAATGTTTTACAGGTGGCACTCACTTCCTCTCTTCGTTGTTCATCCCTGCACTACACTACACTACACTACACTGGTTCATCTTCTGCTTCATCATCTTTGTCCCCCTCATCTATCAGCTTCCATGTGTCCGTCAAGATCCATTCATTGTCTTGCTTCTTCTTCCTTCCTTCCTTCCTTCCTAACATGGTTATGCAGGTTTCCTTCCACATCTCTCCCAATCACTTCCAGTGTTCCTCCACGCCCGATCCTTCAGCGATGTTGCTCAATATCTCCCATTTTGTTCTCATGGCTGACGTGAAGATGTCCCTTGTAGTCTCGTCCTTCAGTTTGTGTTCTAGGTGTTCAACTTGAACTCTGGTCTATCACCAACTTCTGTGAAGGCTTCCAACTTGATTTTCAATGTAGGTTCGTTGCACTAGATAGTGGTGAGTGGTGTGAACCTACATCTGCTGCCCTCCTTCATCTGATCTTGTGTCCAGTAGACTGCGTCTCCACTTTCTTAACATTCAGATGAAGTCGATCTGATTCTTAGTCTGTCCTGGTGCCTGGTGGAATCAAATCCATGTCGCTTTGCGAATCTTTCTGTGTTTCTACACACTGCCTCCAATCACGAAATTGTTGAATGCACAGAAGTCTGCAAACAAATCTCCATTCTCATTCATCATTTCACCGAGTGCTTCCCGACCCATGATGGATGAGTTCTCTTCCTGCATTGACCACTCCCAGTTTAGCATTCATGCCACCCCACCCACTAGAATGAATTTTGATGTCGCCAACTGGGGTGGAGTCTTGTCCAGTATTGATTGCAGTTGTCTGGAGAATTCCCCTTCTTCTATTGATCCGCATTATTTGTAGGTGCACAGCCTAGCATTGTATGATTGTGACTTTCCTACCTTTTGATTTGAATCTTGCTGTCATGATCCTGGAGGAGGCGATTGGTCCCCACTGCATGAGAGCCTTCGATGCTGTTGCGGACATCATGATTGCCACTCCCAAACTCAGTGTGCACGTGGTTGTCGTCTGGGTGATAATATCGGAGTAGATTATTGGCTCTGTAGTTGATAGTTTGGAGAGTCCACTTCCAACCCATCTGCAAATTCCTCGCAGATTCCTAGCACTTCTATGCCATATCTTCTCATCTCATCACTTTCGCAATCTGGACAGTCTTACCAGCTAGTTTCAAACATCGTTCGGACATTCCATGTCCCGATTCGTACTTTCGCTTTCATCGGGAGAAGACACGTCGTCCAATTGGCTTCCAGAAGACAGACTTTCACCAACTGGGGTCATTTCGTCTCCCCGATTTCAGTGAGAAATAAGTTTTTTCTTTTATCAATAGTTTTTTTAGACTCTGGATTGGTTTTACGAGGTAGGGTTGCCAGCCCTACGGCCAAACTTCTCTCTTTATCCGGCCTTAAGATAGGCTAGTCACTGATGAACTTGTTACCTAGGCGAGGTTACACCAACTCCCAATCCTACCAAAATTCTTTTTAAATAAGTCGTTTACTCTCTCTCGGTCAGGTATTGCATCACACGTGTCTTAAACAGTGCTTTGCGGATTATATCTAAACTCATTTATAGTTTTCATCTTTTATTTTCAGACAAGCTGAAGCTTTGGCAGATGCTAAAAGTGAACAATTAGATCAATTTATAAATGAATTACAATCAAAAGAAACTGAAATTCAATTATTGCGTCAAAGTTTAGATAGAACACGTGAAGCTTTAATGCATGAACAACGTACAGTTGCAGCACTTAAAAAGTCCCGAGTAAGTTGTCTACGCAACCATTTCTACTACTGAGAATTTTTTATTAGGAAAAGAAAATATTTGATTAGCAAGTTTGTTAGTAGTGATTAATTTCAATCGCTGAAAGACACTCGCAGACCCATTGAAAACCTCTAAGCAACTGTTCTGATCTAGTATGCGACTCTTCAGTAGTTCAAATACATGATCCCTCCAGATGTTGGATCGATGGCCATCAGGTTTCACAATGAACATGCCAACCATTCAGTACTCTCAGGTTTTCAGTGGTTCTCCAGCTGATGTTAGTCAATGATGAGTGAAAAAAGTTCCATTTGATCATTATATAATTAAATATATATATATATAAAAACATTAGATCTGAAGTAAAAAGAAGAACCGAAGACTGGAGCATATAAACCACCTGTTTATGATCTAAGATGAGCAAGTAAACAAGCTCACAATTTGATAAATCTTCCTAAGAATGAAATATTATAGTTGTAAAGATATATTGCTGAAACCATCTTGTTTACTTTAACACTGAGTGGTGTAGAATTCTGATGGTGCATCACTATCATCGACAATGCATTTACCCCATTCTAAGGAGGGTTTAAAAACATTAATCTTCTGTTGAAGTGCTTGCTACCAATTTCTTTGAACTGCTTATCACCTATTTTATCACCATTTGTAGATAATCTACTTGTTTGGGCATGTGAAACTAACTTATGGACAATAATAAGATAATTCTACCAGATCGGAATGATCACGCCACAGAAAGACCAAAATTTTATTTTGGTTGAAGTATTTGACATTCATTGATCTTTGTTATCAGTTAACTATCATGAAGTTGCTTGTTGTTTTAGAACTTATTCCAATGGTTTCGGTTTTCACAAAGATTGAAGCACTCAGTGCAGTTCATAGACAAGTAAAGAGATCTAATGTGATTACTTAGTCACTATCATTAGTGGAGTATACATATTACTGTGCCCTTTTCTAACATATGCTTAGAAGAGGCAAGTATATAAGGCATGCTAGATGTGGGCGTGTCAGTAGCATGGGATAAATTGGTGAACAATATACCCAAACTATGATAAATGTCTGGATCCCTGACTACTGCCAAAGATGACGCGAGTTAGCTAATGACAAACAGACCTTCTGAATCCTATTTTAAACTTTGTAAGTAACAAACTCATTTGGGACGATCCAGCTACACAGTTCAGTCAAGTGGTCAACGCCTCTTATTAGTTCACTCCCTATCCTACGAGTAACAGTTGATCCAGACCAGTCTTGCAGCATCGTTTTACATTTCCTAGCTGTAAAGCGCATGTCAAATATGCTAGGATTTCTGCTGTGACTGTTCAGAAAACTCCTCTTTTTGGAAGCGTATTCACTGAATAGAACTACTTCTTCTGCGCATTACAATTTAACTAAGCATCCTTCATTGAGCAAGTCAATCTCTTAAGTTGGAGACACTTAGAGTTATATCCATTTATATATATATATATATATATATATATATATATATATATATATATATATATATATATGATTTCTTGGAGTGCCTACGTGGTTCTGGGTAGACAGCTTTGGTTAACATAATTTACTGAATCAATACTTTCTTCACAGTTACAGACCGTCACAATTCCTCTTGGTGGACAAGGTCGACAAACAGATCAGCATCACTTTTCAGTCGTAAGAATGACTGCCCAACCGACAAAAGTAAATCCGAACTACTGAGATAAGAGAATCAGTTGAGCAATTTCAAAAGTGTTACAGCGAATTTATTCTATTCTTACACATAAGTAAGTTTTAATATAATTCCAGCGTGGTATTATATTAAAACTTACTTATATAATGATTAAGCCTGACTCGGCACTCAAGTTCTTTCGTAACAGTTGTAGTCTAGATGGTTATAATTATCAACTCAGCTTATTCTCAAGTTCAGAGTGGTTTGCAACAGATAAGTCTCTGATGGAACACCATTTATATACACCTAAGATAGTTATACCTTATTTAATGATATTAAGATGTAAATCTCAAAAGATACCTATAATTCCCTGATTTTTCTCTTCAACAGAATCCAACACCTATTTCGAATTCCAGTTCAATCAAGGCAAACCCATCACCGAAAAAGCAAGCACGTCAGACAGGAAATGAACAAACGGACAAGGTAAGTGATCGACATATATACGTAAGGAGTTTAAGATAAATCTGATAATTTTATTCAAAAGGAGAAAAAGTCAGTCTTGGTGAAAAAGCTATTTGGAAATTAACAAACAAAAGGGTGAATAAAAAGGTCATTCCAAGAAGCCTTTATTAGTGTCACTTATGACGTCAGCAAGACTTCTAAATCGGAGATATACAGTCCTTAAGGTACGCTTAAAGAGAGTTACAAATATCTCCTTAATATTTTCGATCACTTGGACGTTATAATTGTGTGCAGTACAGTTGGTATCCTTCTCAACCACATCCCAAAAGTAATAAACTATATGACAGCAATCATGGGAGTAAGCGACTAAACATTGCAGTTGGTGAAGTTGCTAGAACGCTTACACAACAATTTCTGAGTCTTGTTTGAAGTGCGACTAGGTTCTGAATTTCACTGTTACACATGCGACCTTCCAAAGAGTACCCTGTCTTACCAGTGCTTCATCACTGTTTTAATAATTTCAATATTGCTATCTCTATTCAGCATGAGAAATATTTTCCCAATATTAGGTAGCAAAGCATCGCCACTTGAAGCATCGAAAAACCATAACTCAGATAAATTTTGTTCCTGTGGTTGCTGAAACCTTTTTTGAACTTTAGGTGGGCTAGCTTTTGTTCTGAGTATCGCATCTCTGTTTCGGATAAGAATATATTGGATTATACAAGAAGCAGTGTCACTGGTTCAAGAGAATGTATAACTTTGTTCTGTTGTATGATTACCGCTAATAAATGGCTTTATGCAGCGTTTCCTTCCAGTGGTTTGCCCATATGCCCTTTGCAAGAAGTGAAGTGGAAGCCTAGGCTCAAGCTCTTATTCACTTATCAATGTCTTCCATCCCTTTCTCGTGTCCTTGTTAGGTGAGTTCTGATTTATAAAACGAAAAGAAATGTCTAGTGCGTTCTCACTTACAAGCTTTGACTTCGTAATTTCTGCTGCAGCTCTTCACTTCATGTCTTGTCATTCTTAGGGTATTCAAAGAGCACTGAGCAACTGTAGTAAGTGATTAACCTTAATGTCAGGCAAGAATCAACGAGATTCACGTTACTCTCTTTGAATATTCTAGAAGTTCTCACTCACGCATTTTACTTAAATTAGGTATTTTCTGCTTACCAACCTAGCTGTTTTCAAAAAATTGTACTATATGTGGAAATAAAGGAGATGTTATTACAATTAAGTTTTATCAGTTGTATTTCAAATCCTCTGTACAACTGGTGGACTCGAGTGCTGGAGTAAGTTAAATCACCATGGAAAATCTGCACGCGCATGAAAGAGCATTGATTGAACTATGTGCATTATTTAAACTTGTCGTGTGCAAACTCATTCACTAGTTTTTTTAATTAACAGTTTCCCTGAGGCATATTTAGGATAAAGACTAACACACGTGTATGACCAAATGGCACCAACGCATAAAATTACTGATTATTATTTCTAGATACACAGAAAAACATAGGCGGGTTACAATACGCATGGCAACAGAAACTGCAGCTGGATGCAGTCGAAAATTTAGCTAGTAGAATGTTAGTAGTACATATGTATGTAAGTGCGATAAACGACACCTGATTCACACAAGAGGTGGCTATTGTTATTTAGTGGTCTAGTGAACAACACGCTGACGTTTGAACCGATCGGTCCCGGGTTCGAGCCCCATTGGGAATGACAACGCTGACTTGGAGACAGGTACATCCAGCTGACAAGTCCCAAATAGGACTGGATGAGCATCCTAGATTCTATTGATGGTCATCAAGCAGATTACAATATCTACTCAGCAGTTGCCTATGAACAGCTAATAGCTTGGTGTTCCCACACCTCTCCTTTTCCTCTGTACGACACTCATTGATATCTCTCACTTCCTAATCTTTAGCCAGAAAACACAGATACCATATTAAATTATTCGAAGAAGAGATGGCCTTGTGTTCAACACCTTATGTAAATGATGTCGAGAATTTGTTTCAGAGATAACCTGTTCAGTGATTTGTTTCACTTATTCCATTTCTTAGTGCATTTTGTCCTGAAAGTGTCAGTTTCTTTGATCAAAACACCCACCAACTTAGTGTCAACTCTTATTACTTTTTCTGATGAAATCGAAACTTATACTACTTATAAATACTTTTATAATCAGCCCGTATGATAATTTTAATAAGCCAGTCAAAGATTAGACTGATAGAATAAAAATGAAATTTTAGTTGCCGAAAAACTTGTGCATTAGTCTATTTTTTCTCTGAGAACAGTCGTATCTTAAAACAAGCTTCACAGGTTTTACATTTTCACCAGAAATGTATCCATGTCTTTCTGTTGTTTCTTGTTCTTTTTAAAACTAGGAACAACGTCAGAAAAAAGCTAACCAAGAGAAACTGAAAAGAAAGGATTATGAAATAGATACGTTGAAGTCTCAACTAGAAGTACGTGACAAGAAACTCCATTTGCTGTCTGATCAAATGATGAGAATGAAGATACAAATGGTAACTTTTTAGTTTATTACAAAACGTATTTATAAAGCCAAAGAATGAGAAGACAAATGGAACAGTTAAGATAACAGGGAACTAAAATTAAACAAATTACCTTGATTAACATTTAGGCAATATCGAGGCATCCGCGTAGGAGCCCATATGCCAATAGAGGTAGAATAACTCGATCCAATAAAACGACGGAGAATTACAAGTATGTCGATTAAGTTATAAATACTACCCGTTGTACAATAAGTGATTGTCGTTCCTCTATGGCATAGTGGATAACGCCTTGGTGTTTGGAGCGATGGATACGGGGTTTGAGTCCCGGTGAGAACAACACTGACCGAGATGCAGGTACGCCCAGCTGACCAGTCCCAAATAGGATGAAGCGTGGATCCTTCTTCTAGCCATAACCAAATAAATTACCCTAATTAACATTCAAGCAATATCGAGATATCCACATAGGAGCCGATATGCCAAAAGAGGTCGAACGACTCGATCCAATAAAAGGAGGGAGAATTGCAAATATGTCAATAAATATTAATAAAATTAAGAAAGATGAAAATAAAAACGAACAGTGACATAATGATCCTAATCTTGGTAAAAAGTCAAATTTTGCCACTGTAGATGCAGTGTATACGCAGAGGTGGCTTCAACTTGCGCATGGCTGTCGCTTCTGCTAACCTCACTACGCCTCTCTGACTGTTTCTGTATAAGACTGGGGAAGCTATTCGAACATTAATTTTGCAACATGTTTCTATAATATGTCTGGCTATAGATGAACAGGATCATCTCCGACCTGCGCTTATCAAAGTTTCATGCTCCATCCGTTTTTGAAGTCGTTTAGGTACACCATGTCTCCCCACCCTTAACTGTGTGGCTCAAATACTCCTCCATGTATATGCGTGACTATACACACATATAAACCAGTAAACATAGTCGGATGTGACCTAATCATTAATGCAGTGTTTAAGTTTGTGGTGTAGCATATGCTTGGCCTTTTCCATAATGATAAGTTTGGGTGCATACAGTAATTTCCGAATGGTTGATGTTAGACTAAGTCTCAAAATTCCACTGTTCAACTAGCCTCTGTATGATAGAGTGATATGGAAACTTTTCTTAGCTACTCGTACAATGGATATCCGTTTTGTATGTTTTTGGTTAGTAATTTAATATTTTTATCCATAGATTGTGATGTGCAGATATGATGGATTCCTATTAAATAAACATTTTATTAGAACTTGCTTATGTTGGATCGGACAAAACTGTGAAAATTTACATGCTGTCCTGTCCGTCTAGGCTCTCCATAGACTGGTAATTCAGTACAAGTGAGCGTTAGTTAGGTGCTTATTCAGTGGAATTCAATGAATATGCACAGATGATACTTTGGAAGACGAAAGAGGAACATTGGCTGAAATACTGTTGGAAAATAACTATCCATCAAAATTTACTAAGCAGTATAAAACAAATGAAGCTCCAAAACCAACTCCTCACTTTGTCCAAAACAAACATGTTTTCATTAGTCTTCCGTACAATGCTGACTCTCATGGTACAATATGTAAGCACAGACTTACTATCCAGTTAGGGTTCGATTAATTAAAATCATATAGCTCCTATATTCTCTCTCCCAAATCCTTACAGCATATCAACGACAATGTCACATCTCTTGCATCTACCGATTCAAATGCACGTGTGGTGACGCATACATAAGGAGGACTCATAGATCCATGCAAGTAAGTGCCTCAGAGGATATTCCAGTGTGGTTTCAGAAGCGAATCGAATCACATGAATCCATAAGCGTTGGTAGCAGACGTCCAAGTTGTTCGGTCGCGAAACATATTGTTGAGACAAGTCACAGAATTGACGTTACTACTTCCCTTACAAAAGGTGTTGAGGCCTTAGGTATCAAAAATTTTCAACCATCTTCGTGTGTTCAGAAACTATTTGTTATCACACTAGATCTCCCTTGATGAATTCAACTATGAAAACCAAGTTGGATGTACTATTATTTTAGCTGTATTGATTTTCATTGTTATTCAGCCATTAATTCAGCCACCCTACTTGACCTCTTTTTATATTCTCACCGCTTATCTTCATGAATTTTCATCTAAATACCTATGATAGTTACGTATGTGATCAGATAGTTCGAAATATGTTGTGCATCACATGATTCAGACGATTCACTTCTTCTTAATGTTTTGTGGAAGTTTGTAAAGGGAACTAATTGTTTTAAATGTCTTATTTGTGTTTTGATTCCCAGGGTTTAGAGGACCATGTAAAATAAACGCCTCTTTCCTATCCACCTGAAAAACAGAGGACCTCGGATATAAAAAGGATAATATTTATTGTACAATACACTAGTTTAAAAAAGAAAATGAGATTTTTTTTCTACGCACTCATATTTCTTCAAAACATTTCCCTCTGGTAATGTATTTCATCCTTTATGACTACAAATTATCTTCTGGGATATTCCTTCACATTCCACCTACAGAATACAACCATACCACAGACTATATAGAAATCTTTTTTATTCAGAACAGAACACAAAAGTGTTTAACCATGAATACCCAAAAAACTACCTCAAAGGCCAATAACATTATTGTTATGATTAAATATAAACCGTTAAAGTAAAAAAAACTTCTTTCTTCTCTTTGTTACCTCGGTAAGCTGACCTCTTTCTCATGACCTATAGATATAAAAGTTAGAGAAACGAATTTGCTTAATATTCTAGTCCAAAATCCCAAACAATTATAGTGGTTGCGCCAAAGGATGAGACTGAATACTGTCTTAGATGTGTGTTCCATTCTCTCCTGAAAACCAATCTATAAATAAACGTTCAAATGACGGGTATGTATCATACTGTGAATTATTACGCTCTTTTAATCAAAGGTATCATAACTGCCTTCAAAATTGTTTACTTTATAATTTCGCTATGAGCAAGCATTAAGTGCAATATCTTCAGTCACTATTTTTATCTGTCGGTTATGTCTTATTGCTGCGAGTTATGTTGAAACTCTGCCATACCTTCTATAATCGTCTTTTTGTTGAGTGTACGATGCTGAAAAATTCCAGCAAATAACGCCTTATTCATAATAACATTTTATGAGACATTAGCCTATTACGGTTGATGGAATTATGGTGTTTTCAGTCTAGTGCTGAATGAATTTCCATGCGCACTTTCAGTCTGTTCAGAAAGTCGATTTGAAGACAGAATGATGTTTACTGACATTATTTAGAGCAAAATTTCCATTACTTTATTTAATCACAAGAAGGATGAAGCAACTGTGAAATAACATCTGAATACTATAAACAATGAAGATATCTTTTTTCGGTGATTTCATCCTCTAAAGCTGTACAGTAGAAATTCCACTGATTTTATCCCATCATAATAGATAAGTTCAAGCGTTACTGAATTAAAACTAATTACAAAGATTAGGTTAGTTGAAGATTTCCACTTTTATAACCTATATCAAAAAATCAACCATTATGTAACAGGAAGATTGGCGATAGAAAAGCACAAAGACCGACATCAGTAACATATAAGAGTATATAGGTGCTTAATTTGTAAAATAATCTTCAAAACAAAACGTGATAAACAGCAATATGGTAACAAAACAAAGATGAAACGTTGTTTAAAAAAAATATGATAAAATTGTGAATATTAATAAGAGAAAAAGAGGACTGTGGTTTGTAGTCAGTGATTTAGTCAAACTTGATGTGGTGATGAAACCTGCGTGTCACATTGACCCAATGAGCAACACTGGTTAGAACATTTATTATTCGAGGTCCTACTGTATCAGAAAGGTTGGTCGAAAATTGGGGGGACAACAAGAAGTTACATTACAGTGTACTGTACTACTCTTTGATAGGGTTTGAGGGCAAAGTGGTAATGCTGTCTCGTTGAGGATATGTGCTGGATGAAAAGTCATAAAGAGAGAAGTAGTAAAACAATAATGAAGCCCCGTATAAAGATTAAGATATGAGTAATTTCTGGATGCATCCGCATCACTGAGACAAATTCAGAACCTAAAGGTCTACATCTCTCTTCACAGCTCGTACACCCAATTAAAGACTTCATGCGCTGACGCTACACGTTAGTCTGACCATCTCTAACCCTTTTCGAACCTCAGCTTCCCTCTTGCCAACATTGCTCTTGAAGAGAGACGGTAACCAGGCATGTGTAACAAGTTTTCCGGCCATTTGTGTCGACGAAAGTTGACTTTCCTCTTCTAGTTAAAACTGTATGTCTGACTTCTATTTTACTGATGTGATGACACCCCAACACATGGTCTACACAATGAAAGCAACTGTGTTCGAACAATTGAAGCTCTCTTATGTCTTCAAACAGCAATGAGTGTTTCACAGCTTTTCAGTAAAACAAAACCAACTGCAGCACAGTACATTCAGCCTATAATAGGCAGCTAGCGACCACGGCGGAATCGTAAATGGCATACGTTGGCAAAAACCAGGCCAGCCCTGTTTATGCACAAAATTAGTTATGCACAGACTTTACTGAAAAGACTAAACATGCAATGCAATACAACAGCTTAAACGAGAAATAAAGAAAATTACTTGGCGTCTCTCCTTTAAGTGAACGGTTAACTACACAACTTCATCATGAGATTGCTATCTAGTGCATCGATTTGAATTCGATCTCCAAAATGTATTAATCTTAGGCACACGTAAAGCAAAGATTATCAAAAAATTCCAGGTCAATCAGTAATCAATAGGTTCATAGAACTCATTACAACCAAGATCATCAATATGAACTAAAAATATTCTCCATCACTGCCAAACTGAAATCAGCTAACTTTAGGTTAAGGGGTAAGTTTCCACTATTAGTTGTCCCACAGGGAAAAACTGGCAAGGCTTTTAAGGGACAACCAGCATACTCAACAAAAATGCCCTCTACATTATCGAGAAAAGGAATTATAAATGACTAGCCTTAAACCTTCAGTTTGATGTACAAAATGCAAGCTCCCACTGGGAGGTTGTAAATTACGAAGTAACCCTTATAAAATAGAAACCAGATATTTTATTAAAACTTGTGCGCACAGACAAGGGTTCAAGCGCAGTTCTGATGGACAGAAACGTATATATCCAAAGGTATTGACTTTGGTTTCAGATGATAAATAAATCTTCTCAGCCTGACGACGAAGAAAATGAAACCAAACTAACTAAGCAACAACTTATAAATGTTTTTAAAAGACTGAAGAATGATCCACTCATCAAAAAAGATGTTGGTGAACTTCTTAAACCAACATGATCATTAAATCCCCGACTTTATAATTTATCTAAAGTTTAGAAAACTGGAATGTCACTTCGTTCATTTCCAGATATTTCAGGATCACCCTTACCATTAGAAAATGGCTTTCTGAAATCCTTCAGCCTGCAAGAGAACAGCTATCCAGTAATCCCTTCCGATTCATCGGCCGCATAAGATATTTGAACGTAACTGGAAAACCTATCTCATCACTTGACGTAGAATCTCTCTGCACTAAAGTGCCACTCGCAGAGACGATCAGTTTCCTTCAGACAGCCAAAGTGTTCTAACTACCTGAATTCCACCTAATAACTTGAGCAGACCAGGTATACTTATGATGAACCTGATCTCGATAGCAAACAATACTGACTAATGTGAATGGTCGTGAATCACTCCGTCTATCAGTTGCATACTTGATGCAGCTTCTATGCATGCAAACATGATGCCAACTGTGGTGTTGAGCAGGTCGCATTGTGTAATCTGAATATTTTGAACCCACAGGACAACATGATCAGATTTCTCAATACAGACTGTGTAATTCCCGAATACCTGATTTGATTGAAATTAAGAGTAATTTTTATGAATTGGCGAATAAATAATTTCATTATCAATAAATTCAAAATTCAGATTGATATTCATTATAAACTGATATCAGTTGAAGAAACATTGGAAACCTAGGAGGACTGGACAGTTGTTTCGTCCCAGTATGGGACTTCCCAACAGCGCCCACCTCCAACTTGAATTACTCTAGCGCTCACTGGTGACTTGCTTTGAAATGAGATTTCCGAAGTTCTAATGAGAAGTCAAGATCTATGGGGATGACCAAGTCGAGCGGGATAACAGTTACTAAACGACGACATCGGATGGAGGTTACGCTATATCGGGAACTGATAGAAGTAGGAAATGTAGACCATTGGATGTTGATCCAGTACTTCAATGGTCACTTGCTGGTGGCAGGATCTGGAGAATCTAGGTTTGACCCCTAAGGGTATATGGGTGTGTACTAACGAGAGGTCGAATATTAGGACGAAACAGAAGTCTAGTGCTCCCAGGTTTCCAATGTTTCTTCAACCAATATCAGTCCATGATGAATTCCAACCGGAAATCAACAAATAAATCCCCAAGAACCTCTGAATTAAATTTAGATTTCAATGAAATCAGCTGGAGTTTTCAGTTACCACCACTTAGCAGAAATAACCAGTTTTTTGTAGTAATACAACTGTTAGTTGCATATTTCACATATTGGTTATAAAAACTAATTATTAATTAATTTCACAGCCATACTATATTTACATTCAAACTTTCGTAATCCACCACCTTCATTCTTTTAGTATTGAACAGTCTTATTGTCTTTTTGCAGGCTCCAACCCACTTTGTTCGTCTGAACAACTTTTGTTCTCCTCGATTCACTGTGTGAGTAATGTTGAATTCAGGCGAAGGGTACTGAGCAAGATAGAAAAGTCGATTGATCAGGTTATGAACCCTAGTCAACTGAGATGGCATGGATGTATACTGCGTATACTAGGCCATCGCCCACCCTAGCATGCCTGACTAAGAGAAGTTGGATTAGGTTGGAAGAGGGTTCAGGTTGGTCAGACCAAGACATGATACCAGTCCATGAGGTCTCTAAAAGTTGGTCTAAGCCGTATTAGGAGACCTAGACTGCCTAATTGGGGTCCCGAGACGAAAGAAATCAGTGGTTCAGCATTCTTGGCAACATGTCTGAAAATCAGTCAAAAGGGCTCAGACTTATTCACTCTTCGAAGTCTTCTAAAGCTACAATATTTCGGCTGACCTTTTTTCTTCAAAATGCTTATTTTCTCGCACAACTTTGCCTCACTTGATGTCAGCTTTTTTCCCTCCTCCTGTTCCCTGTATACTACTGTGAAGTGTGCAACTTGAAGCAGTGCACTTGTGTGCAATGTTCTACGTTGATTTTGTCTGTCTATCTGTTAGCTATGTTTAAACTCAGCATTAAGGTCAGCCAACAGGGGTGTTAATCGAGATAAGCAAAATTTATCAAAAGTATAATAGTGCATACATAAAGTTTTAAATAGAACTTGAAAACCAAGAAAGAGTGTAAAGAAAGTAAAATATATTAAGATTATTAATGTTCTTATCAATTTTACGCCGTCACCTTAGTTATGTGAATATGAATTTAGAAAAGGACTACAGACCTGAATAAACGAATCTCGAAACTATTCATATTGTTCGAAGTTACTAATACAATATGATAAAATGATCTGACTTCTTCTAAGTCCTTTTTTATTTAACCTTACCTTAAAATTCACCCTGAGTCGTCATTTTCACTCCATTACTAGTGTAGAAAACAAGTACTAGTATGCATTTATAATTTATTTAAAAAAATAATTAGAAGAACAAGACAGATGTAACTGTACAGAATGTAAAACTAGATTTCATAAAACAATAAAGAAATTTTGTTATTTTCTGTATACTTTATACACTGTTCTACACCATATAGTTTAGCTCAGTTGCGCTCACAGATGAACAATCCGATTCACCCCTACAGTATAAATGAGAACTCATTTCCAAGTTTCGTTTAAGTTGTAATTCAGCTTTCTCCAATCTTAATTTTCTAAAAGACACTAACCACATTATCAATACTAAAAAACTAGCTATCAAACAAACTGATCCACATATTCCATAGCAGAACTCGTAACTCTTCCAATGATCATAAACCAATGCAAGGATAGGAGCACCAAACAAGTAGCCTATACCACAAACAAATAATAGTACTCCAAGTCCCTTGGTAACATGATCTGTTGATAATATTTCCACTAGTACAAGAGGCTGTAGTACACTATATGCACCTGGAGAGAAAAAAAGCCATTTTTTTGACAGTTAAACTCAATTATGCCATCACTTACCACAGCATAATCCATCTACAGCTGAGTAAATAGCATATTCCCATGGCTTTGTAAAATAGGTTGATATGATAGTAAAAACTCCTGACAATCCTAACCAGAACAAAAGAAATGGAATAGTTTGTAAACATTTCAAATTTGCAATAATTCCAACTAATAATCTGGATAATCCACTAAATATTCCATTCATTAGTAAAACAATTGATATTTGTTTCTCAGTGAAGCCTTTCAGTGTTAACCAATCGTGGATGAAGATGAATGGTACTATGAATACACATGATAATAGAAAGATTGCTACTAGTAAAAGATTATATTCGGGAATAATGAATAAACTTGAATACGTCTTCCTTTTTCTTAATTCTTTTTCATGTAATCGATGTATTTGTGTCATATAAAAGTAGGAACCGATATTGCCTAACAAATGATGTGCATGTTTGCGATTTATTATATCTGTAATCTTAACTGCTGAATTCAATTCACTAGTTGAACCAAATATTTGTATAGGCATCCTTATTTCGCTGTATATCTTTTTTGGTAAAGTATCAGTTAATTGATTAGTACATGTTGATTCATAGGCTTTTTCATTGTTTCTTGAAACTAGACAAAATCCAAATAAAGATAAACCAATTGAAAATCCAGACAGTATATACATACTACTCTTCCATCCCATCCTTTTTAATATTTTTGTTATGAAAAAAGTCATAAAAGAAACACCTAAAATTTAAATTGTTTTCTTTATTCAGTATACTCAGATTTACCTACCTATACCTGTACCACATGTTACAATGCCCATTGCTAATGGTTGTTTCTCATTGAAATTCGTTGTCACCGCAATCACAGCACTCATATACATCATACCAATGCCTAAACCTGTCAACATTATTTCTAAGCATATGATTTTATTACCACAGCCAACTCCATAGAATATATAAAGCATACTGATATGTACAGTAAATGCACAAATTATGAATGAAACAGCACAAATTATACCGCCAAGTGCAGGAGTTATTCTGTAACCATGTCGATGTATAAGATATTCTGTGAAAGGGCCTAAAGTTTATTCATAGAAATCGATTTTAATCATTTCCTTCTTTTTACCTTGACAAAATGCCAAACCCATTTGTAAAGAACCAATAAAGTCAAGTTGAAATCGACTGGCATTCATTTCTTCTCTCCAATAGGGAACGTATATTCCAGGAATATACATTATTCCATTATTAATAGATACAATTACTGAGGATGCTAATACAATTGTAATGCACTTTAAGCTATCTGTTGCAAAGTAATTAGATATAGTTTTGTAAACATTATGTGTGTATGCCATTATATTCAGTAGGGTTTCTTATGCTGTCTATTACATAATCGTTGTATCGATTTAAAGTCATGCAAATTTACTGATTTTATGATCAATCAGTAAATGTTGGCAATGCCTTAAGATGCTTGTCAGTTGGAAGAAAATAGGAATATTGTAAGCACTGAAATGCACGTTCATGATAAGAGTGATAGATAATTAGTTTATAATTTCTGAATATTCTGCAAGAGCAACCTGGTGTACTTTTTTGCCCTCTCGCTGAATTCTCAGTGTTGGATATAGGTCGCACTGTTTCGCGAATTGACAAGAGGTAGAAAAGTGTGAACCATTCGATTCCCATCGAGCGGCTTAACGGTAACATGATTTCTGTAAAAAGTGTATGTCCTGGCATCGGTCCGTGGCAGAGTCATGAGTGGGCACTGCTGACAAGTCTCATGGTGAGACGAAACGGTTGTCAAGTGCTCCCAAGTATGTCAGTGGTCCACCGACCAATGTTAGTCTATGATGAATACTTGAAATAAATTTATCTACTGTCATACTTCACCCGTTTACTAAGTTTTCATCCAATTCCATCACAAATCTAGATGTATTTTGTTCTTGTCTTCTAAATTCTTGTCAATTATTCACTAGATGAAGCTTTTTCTGATCGATGTACCTGGGTTATTACTGGAGATGTTAGTGCAGGCATCGGTCTTCAGACTTTAAATAGTTTAGATATCAAGTCTCAAGTAATCAGAACTGACTAAAGTTTGTCCATAAAGTTTGAACTGTGGTCACCATGCTGAATGAGACAGTAATAATGTGAATTTGAGTCAAGTGTTCACGGCAAGAATATATACTTGTCAACACCCATCAACAAGGTGTATCCACAAGGTGTCTCTAAAGAGATCCAAACCAACGTTTAGATTCCGATAGTTTCAACATGCTTAATAATTAAGTAGTCTCCTTGACGTTGAGGATGCATTCAACAAAAAACATTTTCCGATCTGATCGAAATGGTGGGATTCGACGATCATTCATTGAAGTGTCTACTTCTATCCTGAACACAATAGAGACTATGGGGGATACGAGACAGTGAACAACAATTACATATGAATTAATATATTGAAAACGCTTTAGTATTGAAGTCTAATCTTTAAATGCATAAAATATATATGAGTGCTTCGCCTAGCCATTGTCAGACATAATTTTGTTAGGATAGAGAATTCACTACTTTACAGTTACCGATATTTGTCTTCTAATTAAGGAAGTAATCCTTTTTCTTGAGTAACAAAACAAGTTTTACTTCTTTCAGAAACGGTTAACTTGAATTCTTTTTCTCCACTTTTACACTGTTTAAAACTTGATCCTGTCATCGGCTTGCAGTACCACATCTTAATACTTCTCTGACAATTGTACTACTCAATGAGTAAATAAGTAGTCTCAAATAAACATCATTTACATCTGCCTGCATATTGTAACCCAAGACATAGCGAATGACGGCAGTAGCCAATCAATTGTGAGTGACTTAACTTCACTGCCTATGTTCTCATTCATGAGTGACTCTAAAGATCACCCGAACAACTGCTGAAATAATCAATTATACTCCATTATTTCACCAAAAAATTTCTTTCCCGCCAAAATAGAGAAGTTTAGTTGGTTATTCTAGCAGCTGCTAAGACTTACCCTCATTCTCTGACATTATGAACAGGCTACCCACGCATTTTAGGCCTTTTACGTCTACTCTATATTGAATAAGATATTTCATATTATTATTTTTACTTTGGGTTCCTAGTGGAACATGAGGCTTCACTAGCACGTCTCCATTTCACTCTCTCCTCTCCAGTCTGACTCAACCTGGACCCACCACTGCCCACAAGTTTTCATTTCTTCCTCACACTACCTCCTTCATGTCACCCTCGGACGCCCAACTCTTCGTTCCCTTTCTAGGTTCCACTTGAGGGCCTGACCTGGCAGGTGATGTCCCCAAATGGTCTACTCATTGTATGTCCAATCCAATCCATCTTCACTTTCTTCTACATGTTTGTTAGGTGATGAGTTCTTGGTTGATTGTTGCCAGCCGAAGTAAGCTCCTTGCTGCTTATTCTTTCTGGCCATCTAATTTTCAGTATCGAGCATAGGCTGCTGTTGATGAGTGTCTGTAGTTCGTTGGAAATGCCATCACATAGAAGCACTGATATACTTGACTTATATTAGTGTTGAAAATCCGGATGTTGTTCATGCTTTACGCTGATTGCACTGCAGTGCAGTGCAGTAGACCTCTACACTGATTATTTCAGGTTAATGAAGGCCTGTCTTGCCGTCTTTCCCATCCTGGCTTTGACGTCCCCATCTGTGCGGCCTGTATCTGAAACGATGCTACTTAGGTGTAGGTAGGTTGAAGAGACAACTTCCTTTAGGATTCTCCTCTTGATGGTGATTGGTGCTTGTTGTTGTCATTGTTAGCTGGGTATCTTCATCACCTCTACCTTGTCTACGTTCACCTGAAGTCCGTATTCGCTGCCCTGCAACTTCTGCCAACTTGTTGGTTTTCACCTGATCTTCGAGTTTGTGCGACATTAGACTTAAATAATCATCGGCGAAATCCGGATCTACTAAATTCTTTTTTATCGCTCAAACAGCGTATGTTCATCTGCTCGTTCTTCACGGTTTGCTGCATGCTCCAGCCGACCACAATCAGGAAGATCATCTGTGATAGTAGGCGCCAACCTTGTCTTACTCCTGTCTTCTCTTGAAAGGCATCTCTGAGCTTCCTATTGGAAATCACTTGGCATGTAGCATCACATAGCATACAGCTGCCGTTATATGACGTTGGTAAAGGTTTGTGGCACCAAAACCTTGGTGCTAAAGTAGCTGCCAAATTACCTCTCTAGGTGAGGTTGTCGAAGGCCCTTTCAAAATGGATGAAGTTGAGGTAAAGAATTGACTGACACTCAATGCTCTGTTCTCTAATGATGCGTAGTGTAGCGTTGCAATTTGATTCGCACATGATTTATTCTTACTGAGGCCAGTCAACCTGACTGTTTCGGTAGTAATTTTGAATCCAGAGCATTTTTCAGTCTCTCCAGGATGATGCCGCATGATATTTTGCATGGGGTGGGCAGGAGCACGATTCCGCACCACTTCTTGAAAAAACTTATGTCGCCCTTCTTTGGAAGTTTGACAAGGTAGCCCTTCTTCTTTCAATCAGCAGGTATCTTTCCTTCCTCCCACACCTTCTGCAATAGTAATGTGAGCATATCCACTGTTTTCTCTGCGTCTGTTTTCAGGAAGAATCCCAACTAGTCTTGCTGCTTTCCCGGATTTCAACAGCTTTATGGGATTCGGGACTTCATTTCTGCTTTTGTTAAAGGGGTTGTGTTCACTGACAGTTCTGTGGCTGGGCTGCTGGTGGTATTCCTGGAAGCTTTGCAGGTGGTGGTGGTCGATTCAAGAGTTGTTCGAAGTTATCAGCCCATTGATTCTCCTCCTCGGCAACTAAATTTAATTCATTATCCTTCATTGGTTACATCTGCTTTAATCTCTTCCCTCCCAGATAGTAACATGATTATTTGATATAGTGTCGTCAGGACTCTCCTCTTACCTATAGCCTGTTCTGCTCCAGTCGCAAGTGTGTCCCGGAATTGTCTTTTGTCTTTCCGTGAACTCTTCTTCACTTCTTTATCCAGTGTAATGTTTTACAGGTGGCACTCACTTCCTCTCTTCGTTGTTCATCCCTGCACTACACTACACTACACTACACTACACTACACTACACTACACTACACTACACTACACTACACTACACTACACTACACTACTGGTTCATCTTCTGCTTCATCATCTTTGTCCCCCTCATCTATCAGCTTCCATGTGTCCGTCAAGATCCATTCATTGTCTTGATTCTTCTTCCTTCCTTCCTTCCTTCCTAACATGGTTATGCAGGTTTCCTTCCACATCTCTCCCAATCACTTCCAGTGTTCCTCCACGCCCGATCCTTCAGCGATGTTGCTCAATATCTCCCATTTTGTTCTCATGGCTGACGTGAAGATGTCCCTTGTAGTCTCGTCCTTCAGTTTGTGTTCTAGGTGTTCAACTTGAACTCTGGTCTATCACCAACTTCTGTGAAGGCTTCCAACTTGATTTCCAATGTAGGTTCGTTGCACTAGATAGTGGTGAGTGGTGTGAACCTGCATCTGCTGCCCTCCTTCATCTGATCTTGTGTCCAGTAGACTGCGTCTCCACTTTCTTAACATTCAGATGAAGTCAATCTGATTCTTAGTCTGTCCTGGTGCCTGGTGGAATCAAATCCATGTCGCTTTGCGAATCTTTCTGTGTTTCTACACACTGCCTCCAATCACGAAATT